AAAACGATAGCCCTTAAAGAGCTTCCACCATTAGGATTATTTGACGATTTGTCAGCAGTCAAAGATCGTGCTACAACTGCTTTAGCATCACCAACATTAGCAACAAAAACCTATAAAATTCCTTGGTCAGAAAAACACTATCTTTGAAGATGGAGGAAATTAATACAATACAGAAAGAAGAATAACTTAGGCAAGCTGCATTTGAATTAAAAAGGCAAAAGGATGACATGACAACATATATGCCCATTAGAGTATGGCAGTTCCATTAAGATGAATAAAAGAATGAAGGGGCTCCATAAAGTATACACCTGGAAAGGAAGCAATGTCGAAGCAAACCAGAAAGGCAAGACAAAAGTACAAACAAGTATCTAGGTTTATATCCAAGATTGCTTTCCATGTGCCCATCGTAAAACAATGTAGTTAACTTTTTGAACAATTGCATGTCATTGATATTTACAAATAATAAAACTTAACAGCATCTACCCTTCTCAACTTAAAAATAACTTTCTGATCAAAGGCATGGATTTTATTTCAAAATATTTTATTTTGCAGCTGATCACCGGTAAAATAGTTAACAAACTCACCGTTTGACCTAATATCCAAAGGCAAACAGCAGTAGCGCCATCCTGCCATCCCCCTGAAACAAATTGTCAAAGGCCAAGATATGAATTGAGGTCCTTAACCACAGCCTAAGAAGTCTTCAAGCACCCGGTTAGTTATTTTGAGAGGGGGAGGGAACAATCTCTGGGAAATGCAGCTTATAACATTATATCAACTTTAAGCAGCCTAAAAAACACCTTTAAACCCATGAATTGCATATGCATGTAACTTGTTATTATTTATTATTATTATTTATATCATTGAGCGTCTGGGCCAGCTTGACATACCGTAACTATTCTCACAAAACAATTGTTTAACCTTACTACATTTGGTTACCAAGGTAACTCATAACGTACTAAATCTTAGGTAGATGAACACCATAATTTGAATCCTAGCATATAACTTATTACCTTCTCAAATAATAGTCATGCCACTGCATGTTTCTGATTTCTCAAAATAATTGCTTAAAATATATATTTTTTAATATAAGAAATACAAAACTATCAACTACGTATCTTTTTTATAACTATTAGCTACATTCTTTTTATCAACTGCGACTGCGACTGCGACTGCAATTTTATTTTTTATTTTTATAACTTAGCAACTGCATATATTTTTTCTCTAATATAAGAAACATAAAACTTCCGTGAGATTGTGAATGGAGCCTATTTGGCTTCAAGGTGGGCCTCTTCAACAACGCTTCCATTATTCAAGTCAATCAGAGAGTTTTTCTATAACTCCTTTGGCCTTATCAGAGATGGCTTATCCTTCCCTTTTAATTAATGAGGTCTTATTTTTTAATTTTAAAAAGAAAGTTACTAAAAGTAAATAATTCGAACATCACTGTGACCAATAGGCTATATTATGGTGAATCATTTACTTCCCTTTACCAAAGAACCACACTACCTATATATGACAGCTAAGCTTCTTTTACGGTATAAAGTATAAACACAATTTCAAAAATTTATAGATTGCCAATCTTATTCTTCAAATACGTTGAATGCTAAAAGTGACCAACCAGAATAGCCTAAACGTAAAAGTCTACTTTATATTGTTACCTGCAGAGCTTTCTTGAAGAAGAGACTCATCAGTTTTCCGGAAACCTGCAATATGATGGGGAAAAAAAGAAAGAAAGAAGAAGAAGAAGCAAGAAAGAAAGAAAGAAGCAATCAAATACATCAAGAGGCAATGAGACAACAAATGCCATATTCAGAAGTCTTTGATGGAAAGAGAACATAAAAATTATTCATACCATCAAGTATAGCCTTTTTAGTTGCTTTTACATCCAACTGGATCAACACAAGGCAGGAAGTCAGAAAACGAGAATATAATCAGGTGCAGGGCAACTATTTGTATTATATGAAATGGTGATGCAAGAATCTCCATGCCATTTACATAGCAGGATTAGAATGCAGGTAAAGAAACTGACAGGGAAATTGATAATGCGATATATAATCATAGGGCATCATGACTAGGCAGCCAGATTTAATCAAAACTTGCCCAAAAATGGAAATTAATGATAAAGAGAGGTCATGAGCAATGAGCATAAACATTATTGTATGAGTCGAAATGCCTACTTTGTTACTTATTTATCCTAGTAAAATATTTTTGTAGCTAAATTTGGGTCATACTGGTAAACACGCTAGTTGCTAGAAATTAATTCATATTTTTATCATATTCTGTACTATCTACTCTAGATATATGAGATTAGCCAGTGCCCCTGCATTTGACATAAACAAATATAAAACAGGTTCAGTGTATGAGGTCCTTGTTTCTAGATGATGTAATAGTATAATAATATGCAGAAAAGCAGACTAAGCAAAACACACCAACTCACGTGGTAACCCAGCCGAGAGAACATTTGTATGCAAATGCTTTTGAGCGTAATCGGCAGCTAATCGGCCCCCATGTCCGTCGTAGATAGCAAAATGTGAACATCTGACCACAAAAACAAATAACTAATTGAAAGTTTTCTTCACTATTAGTCAGAAAAACAATTACGCTCAATAAACCAATGAAGTTCATAGAGTTTTTTTTTTTTTTCCTTCTTCTTCTTCTTCCTCCTCCCTGAGTGTCCCAGATAACTTGCGTGCACTCCGCCTAATCTCATGGACAATCGCCTAACTTTACTACATTTGATTGCCCTAGGATCTTAAATTCTAAGTAGGTGAGTACGATAGTTTGAACTCATTTCTAACTATTTACATTTGATCTTTTACTATTTACTTGGTTAGTTCATTGAGTGCATTTTGAATCTGCCATAGCAATAAACATTCACAGTTCAACCAGTTAAGGGAGCAACATCGTCTTAATACAAATTACCCGAAATATGATACGGGTGAAGACGTTCCCAGATAAAGAAAGGCCAACATGGAGCAAATGTAACGCATGCTTCCAGATATTCGGAGATAGCCAATTCAAGATAATGCCCTTGAATCATATAATATAAACTCAACAAGAGCACAAGTGAAATATAATCGTGATAAAGAACTCAAAACAACTATGAACCTCAACTTCCCAGGAGAATCCAAGCTCGCATCCAAAAGCAAAACCCAGGCATCCTCCATTGTATGCCTGGACCCTTTATCCTCCGCCGCATCCGCTTCAATTTCAAGCTCGACTTCCCTCTTGACGATCTTATCTTCTTCATCACCGTTACCAGCTTCCAACTTTCTGCCGGTACAGTCTCCAGAATCAGCAGCAGCTTCCGTTTTAAACTTCTTCGTAGTAACATCGGGATCTTCAACATCTGCCTCGCGCTTGGGCTTGGTTTCAAGTTTCTCAATCTCCTCTTTCGAGGTTGATTTTGCGATATCGGTCATAGTGTTATGCTCCGGAAAAACTTTCAGAAGACGGAGGAAATCACTGTACTGAAGAAAATACCCTATCAAACTAATCTCAGGGCATCGCGGCCGTCAATGGAAGCAAAAAGTTATCGAGATAGCCATTGTTAAATGAAACTTTGTTACAGCGAAAATGACTTCCCGGCGCGAAGAGAGCCCGGATTTGTTCGTGAAAGCAGACGTTTTTTCCTCCCTTCTTTGGGGCAAAATTTACCAATATCAATGTATTTCAAAACTAATTGTGAATCCAGCGCAATTATATTATTATTATTCTTTTTTGAAAAGGCAGCGCAATTATATTATAAATCTTGATTATTTGTTATGTCCACTGTTTTTTCAAGGGGGATCTTTAACAAAATTATATTTTTCTTATGATAGCTTGGTTTATAAAGTTTTAAAATTAATGTTTATATTTTTAGTCTTAAATTTTGAGAATTTATTAGAGTTTCTTTGATTGTTAATGGCGATTTGATAACGTGATCATTTTTTATTTTTAATATTTTTAGACTTTAAATCTACGAATGATAATATATTTAATAATGATTTATATTTTTCATTTCTCATAAAAGAAAATAAATTGGATAATTATTCTCCTATTTTTATTATAATAATTTATGAAAATAGAGATTTGAATTAAGGACCTCTAAATTGAAATTATATATCTAAGTTGGTTTATTTTTATTTCTAGTTAAAATAAAATTTAATATATATAACATATATACATCGGAGAATATACTATTTTGTCATATAACTTATAAGTTGATTGATATAAAAGTCCAAATTTAAATGGGGTTTTCACTTTTTTTTTCCCTTTCTTTTTGGTCCAATATGGCCGCTAAACCACAATTGAACTTGAACCGATTGTGGAAATCCCTCTTTGTTTATACTTCCATTCATGGCCAAGTCATCGTCGAAGCTCATCAATGGTTAGGGTTTGGCCAATAAAAACAGCGGCGACTTTTTACTGCTCAAAAAAGTGGGTGAGAACTGAACTGATGTTGAAACTTGATTGGAAATATGAAATGTTTCTACTATCTAATTCTATAGCTGTATCAGAGGGTATCTTTAGTCGTTCCGTTGCATGGTGAATGAGTCAACGGGGTCAAATTTATCATATTATTAGAAGCTAGTTGTTTTTATTTTATATACATGTAATTTTTTCAATTAAGAATAGTTGATTCTGGTTCAAAATTGAAAACCCAAATCGAGCTGGATCTGAATTCGTTTTCAGAGAATTGAAGCCCTTCGATAGGAACCATCCGAGTGGCTTTTACGGTTCTATTTCGGCTTTCCATTGTTTAGAAACAGCGTGCATCATCAGAAGCGAGAAGAGAAAGTTGAGTGTTGAACTCCAATGGAGGAGGCGGCCCTTGACTTCGTGCTCGTGCCTCTGGGTCTCGCTTTGATGGCTGTTTATCACGCATGGTTGGTCTTCACCATTTTTCGGAATCCCAGACGGACGGTCATTGGCCTCAACGCCGAGTCCCGCCGCCAATGGGTGTTCAGCATGATGACTGTAAGTTTCTGAGTTCCCACAACTTTTTTTGGAGGTGGGGCTTATTACTCATGAACATTGTCTTCATCTGATCAGACAATTATGCGAGAATTAGGTGCACTATTAATTGAATTGTGATGGTAAATTGTCTATAAACTACTCGGTAGTGTTTTGTTTCTGTTTCTGTTTTTGGGTGGGGCAATGGTACTGAGCATGTACTAAAAATTCCTTCGACGGTTATGAGATGGTAATTTTATCACTTGAATGACTATTATTTCTGAATGGTTCTTTTCATGCTCTTGTGGTCACCGTTATAGTGATGGAATGGTATTTGAGAAAATGACAGATGAACGTCCTCTTCGTAGCAGTAATGTTTCAGGACTACCTTTTCCATTATTTTCGTTCAACATCTCTGTATCTGTTAAGATGAGTCATCTTGGAACGTTAAAATCCTCCAGTTTTGACCGGTCTTATCCCATGATTGATTGCTTTTTAGAATACAAAGATAATAGTCCTTCAACGTCGCCGAGCTATATCAAATCATCAGTGGAGTTTTCCGAAATCATGTTACTATTATCTTTATGGTAGCATGCTTTAGCTAGGACCATTCCTCCATGTGATGGGGATTGAAATTTAGGTGACCTAAACCCATGTTGTATTTTTAAAGATTCTTCCAAACTGTAATGGAGACATTGAATCCATGAGTGACCTATTTTCCTGATCCAAAAAGTCATAAATTTGGCTGCAAGTTGAACCAGAATAACCCAGGGACGGGTAAAACAAGTTTGCACCTCCTTTCTTGATTTAGTATTTGAACTCAAATTAATTGTTCTGATGCCCCAGAAAAATTACACTTTTAGTGAGACATCAAGATAAGTTCAAGGACATCTTGCATAGAAGTTAAAAATTGTTTGCTCATGATGGTTCAAGGGGGTTTAATTATAATAGAAAAATTCCATGCAAATTGCTACTAAGGTTCAAATGATAAAAGTTTCTATCAGGTCAACTTGGCCAATTAGAAAAACTCAGGTTTCCAGTATTCTGTATGCAAAGTGCTACAGTGAAGTGGGATAAGTGACTTCATTTGACTTTTTTAAGATCTATGAAATTTCTTTGGACATGAGATTGACATATGAAAGATCTCGCTAAGAAGAGGTGTGTTGTCAACTTTTATGATGTGCAGAGAAGTGTGGGAAGAAAATATGATACTTTTATCTTTTTTTATGTAAATGGGTCTCTTATTTTGTTTTTAAATTCAGTTAGCTGTTTATGGCTTTATTTTTCAAAGTAATGTAATTTGAGAATTACATCCCTCTGCTCCAATAAGTTTTGACGCCTGATTCCTATTTACATATTTACAATTTCTTGTTCTGCATTCCTGTTGAGAATGAAGAAGAAGAGAGATCCTCTTTTGAACAGGAAAATTTGGTAACGTAGATCCTCGATTTTGCCGGAATTCGTTGATAGGCCTTTTTTATGCGCCGCTTTACCCTGAAAGGAAAATGAGCTTTGCTCCTCCGGGCTCCCGGCGCTCCCGTGGTTTGCGAGAAGTCTAGTATTCTTTTTCCAATCTATATGGAATGGATAATTTTCTTTTTTACTTTCACTTTCACGAGCAAAAATGATCAGCTAGTGGAAAGAACTAGGGATCTTGACGGAAAGTGTTCTTGCAGTTCTCATTAGCTCGGGTAGTTGGTGTGGTTGATAATTAACTCCCTTAATTATGTGTGTGTGAGGAACCATGGAAATGGGGTTGTGGATGAGCAATACAAGTGTTGTACTGCTAGGCATGCTATATCCTCTATATAAAGGAGAGAAACAAGTCTATATATTCTAATAGCTCAGAGAGATTTAAATTTTATTTTGCTTATATTCTCTCGTTCTTTTGTGTATCCCTTGGAGCTATATACAGATCCGAGATGCACCATTCAATTAGTTTATGTAAGTTTATGCCTAACTAATAACTATGGGTACTTTCAAGCAAATAGGCCTCTTGGAGGGCATAATTTTATGAAATACAGATGATATGGTGGGAACGGAATAAATAAGCACAATCATCTTCACGAGTGGATATTTCGTTTCCTTAGCAAAACCAAAGATGTTTCAAGTTCTGGACTGTTTCCCATCTGAAAACTGGAAGCTCTTCAGTGTCCTTTTTCTTATTCACGTAATACCAATTTAGCCTCCTTGTAAGTTTTCGTACTGCAAAAGCAACTTAGATGTTCAGATACTCTATTTGTGTTGCAATTGTACTATTTGACAGAGGTCCATGGCTATGGCTCCTTTACAGTAGATCCTCCACTTTGACGTTCACTTCTTTTTGCAGAACCTATTTTATGCAATGCCAGTTTCCTAGTACATATTTATATGATGGGTAATCCATTTTTGTCAGCTTTAATGTTTCTGTCATGCATGTTGCTTTAATGTATGATATCTGATTTTCAGGATCCGTTGAAGAATGGCGTCTTAACCGTCCAGACAATACGAAACAACATAATGGCATCTACACTTTTAGCAACAACAGCAATAACTCTTAGTTCGTTAATTGGTGTTTTTGTGAGCACCTCAGCGGACTTGAGTAATGCAAAGCTGCATTTAATTTATGGCAACAAGTCTGCCCTTTGTACTTCAATCAAGTACTTCTCAATCTTGCTGTGCTTCCTTCTTGCCTTTCTATGCAACGTGCAGTCGATAAGATATTATGCCCATGTTAGCTTCTTGGCCACTGTTCCTACATGGAGAGATCACAAAGAATCTATACATTACATCGCTAGAAACTTGAATCGAGGCAGTTTCTTCTGGTCCGTTGGACTGCGAGCATTCTACTTTTCATTTCCTCTCTTTCTCTGGATCTTTGGGCCAATCCCCATGTTTGCTTCTTGCTGTACAATGTCATGTGTTCTCTATTTCTTGGACACAACTACAAGTTTTACGCGGCATCTTCACAGCCGCTCGTTGAGGGAGAACCTGGAAGTTGATGATCTGGAATCAGCTCATCAAGCGTCGTAAGTTGATATTTCATAATACTCTTGGCAGTTTTATGAATATATGTTTTTCATGTCAGTCTAAAATATAGTCATCAAAATTAACTTGTCTGTATAGCAAGTTTGGAGGAAGTGACTACAAATGAATCATTGGTTTTATCATCCAAAAATGGGATRTGATTAATTAAGTGCAACTCTAGTATATTTGAATGTAATCCTTCCTAATGATTCCATCCAATTTTTGTTTTATTTCAACATGGATTCGAACCTCTAACCTTTTGGTTGAAGATATATGCTTTAGTCAGTTGAGCTACACACTCAAGTTGGCATTTCTATCCAAATGGCACTCTATTCCTAGAATAACATTAACCTATTCCTATACTAACACACAATTCATTATCAACAAAGGAAGCTCATTGACCTGCTGCTGTAACATTCCCATATGCCCAAATTTTATGAATTTTAAAACTGACCTTTCTCACACTAAATTTTATAAATCTCAAACCCATTAACAAAACACAAATCATCCAAACTCCCATGCCTCAAATTTCACAAAGTCAGACTTGCTCAAAAACACCATCTTGGGTCCGTCCTTTCAACACCTATGCAAAATGAATATAGTCTGTGTACTGTTAACAAATCAAAAGAACGTAATTACTTCCTCTTTCTCATGTCGATCCTGATTGTGCGTCCATTACAGGTAAAGCCATGGCTGTAATTCGGCAGCGTTTAGCCCCATTGGACTCTGGCTGGCATTGTAGCAGACACTCACTAATGGCCAAGATTAATTTGTACAGAACAGTAACATTTGCTTTCCATTGTCAAAGCACAAAGAAAAAGAGAGTGGCCAGGTGAGATGAAAATAACACAACAGAATTTGTTTGTTTGTCATTTCAAGAACACAACAAGGTGAGTAACAGTGCAATGATGAGATGTGGGGAAGTCAATTTGGATGCCTCTCCCTTCCCTTCCCTTCCCTTCCCTTCAAATATTCTTTTACTGAATTCTCTCACCTTTTCCATTTCCAAAAAGTCACCCAGCTGCCTAATATGGCCAAATGCCACTATTGAGCCACAGCCCACTGCAGCAGCTTTGGCAGAGCCAATAAGGTGGCGTTGACAAGCCCCTGTGCAGATGCAAACAGTCAAAATGTGCACCATTACTGCAACACCAAGCTTTTTTCTTCTTCTCTGTGATTCTGACTCGACAAACTCCATTTGGGGCTGTCGCTCTGATCTTATCATCATCTCCAAGCTAATTTTCATGGAGTGGCCCAAGATCTTGAACAAGTGCAAGTCTTGGAGTGGAATTCTTGATGATTTTGGGTTATAGTGGAGCACTTGTTTTGTTTGGTTAAATTTGGGAAACTCAGATGAGGATTTTTGGTTGACCCTTGCATGAGAAAATGATCATTATGCTGTTTTGTTAGATGTCATTATGGTTTGACTGGCCATTAAATCAGATGCTTAGCAGATTTAATTTGGCAATTAGAGAAATGGAGTAACAACCATTTCCACAACTGAAATTCTTGTCAAATGATCCCAAATGGCCTATTTCTAGAAGCCTCTCACCATATCTTAGCTTTAATGTGGTACATGCAATAACTTGTGGTGATTGGATGAACAGAATCAAATTCCATTTACCTATAGCACAGAGAAGACAACTTCCATTTACCAGAAAGAGACTCATCAAGTCATTTAAAGAGAGCAACACAAGAACAAAGATCAAGTTAAAGACAACTTGTCCAAGGTATCTATTGTTTGCAAATTAAGAACGAGCTAACAAATCGACTCATAGCACCGTAACATGACGAAGAACTAGATTCCATAAATAAAWCTATTTCGATCTTGAACTTGAAATACGAAATTCTCTCAAGTAGACTCAAATCTCTTTCCCCCACCTAGAGCAATTCATTGGTAGAAAACGAAAGTTATCAATTTCATGTTGGGATTTAGCATGTTTTAAATAATTGAAGAGATATTTAGCAACAAAGGGGATCCATGGTATCATGTAGGTTCACAATCAAATAAGAAAAAATCCCTCCAAATGGTGGGGGACATTGATAAAAAGAGAAGGCACTTTGAATATTATGATTCCAAACTTTGCTATCTCTCTCTAGAGAGAGAGAGAAATGTAAAAAAGATTTATAGATAAGTTGAGGAAGTGGGTGAAGGGGGGAGACCACAAGCGGCAAGGGCACTAGTGGAATATCTTTCCTCWTTTGTGTGTTTTTCCTTTGCTTCAAAAAGACAAAGGGCTAGTGTCTCACTCTCTAGCCCATCAAAAGCCTCAAGCATTTCACCAATTTTAAGGTAATAATGTAAATCAACAAATTAAATCTCTAATATTATTGTCCCACTTGCCCACTAAATATATACCGCTTTCTCAAATAWCAGCCTCAATCTCTCATCTTTCCGTTGGATTGAATTCTATCTCCGATAAAGAGGTTATGAATTTAAATCTCTCACCTTCATTTGTTTTACTAAAAGGAATCTCTTTTTTTTTTATTAGGGCAGATATTTATTTTTTTTCCATCAACATTATATCTTCAAATCATTTTTGTGATGGTTTCACTTCTCTCTCACTTTTGTTCYATATCCTTTACAGATAATTTTCGTCAAATAATAACATCAATTTTATGACTGATATTAATGTTTTAGAATTGGTCGGTCAAAAATCTACATTGCAAGACAAAAACTTCATAGAAAAATCGGATAATATATTCATTACACTATAACAAAGAACCTTTAGATATTGTGTATCTCTTAATCCACACAACACCTATTTATTGAATTTTGGGTTCAATTCATTATGTTTCTTGTACCCAAGTCCAAAACTTTGTGCAATTATTTTGGCACAATGAAACTATATGATAGAATTATACAATATGACCAACCACAATGTAGCTGCCCTTAATAACATATAGATATAAATAATGCATAAGAAAATAATTTTAAATTTCTCTTGCATACATCAAAGAATGTAAAACTACCAGCCACATTATTCCAACCTTTTTAATCTCTCTAAAACTATGGTTCTTCCCCTTCAATCTTATCTCAGACCTAGCAGAGAAGAACTTGTGCAAATTATGAAAGAAGCTTGAGAAGAGATGCAAAATGATGGGCTTTGGTTTTTGTAACCCTTCTCTGATCAGTTGTCCCCTCTTCTTTCCTTTTTGTCACAAAGACACAATACAATTAATATTTATATGCAAAAATAATGCACAAATTGACCACTTTCTCCCACAAATCAATCAAAGCAAGTGGAGTATAAGCCTCATCCGCTCTGAAGAATGTTCACTTTACCCTCTAAATTTCCTCATCGCAAAGCATCTCAAAACAAGATGTTTCAGCCCTTCATTTCCTGCATTTTAATGACACAAAAGAAACAGAAATTAGAGAACTTTATCAATTGATTTAGAAAGAAAAATTGGTCTCTTGTTGCATGTTTATTCTATATTCCAACAGTTATGGGAAACCTTCTTTTTTTTTTTTTTGATGAATTTACCCAACGAGTTGGGCTTTTTCATCAAAGTTTGGAAATTTATCAAACGGGTCCTTATGGAGGTAGTTAGCATGAATTTGATTAAAAAAAGCATTGAGATCAGAAGGGAAAGTTGGAAATTAAACAATTATGAGAATGAGAGAATACCCAATTAAAAGAAGTCATAAGAGAAAAATATGAATTAATATAAACCCTTACCCAAACAGGACATGATCAAAAATTGCATCTTTATCTCAATTCTCCCCACCACTTTGCTCAATTTGGACTGCAACACACAACACTAACTGAAATCAGCACATTTCTTAGGGATGTACATACATAACAAAGATCAATGATCTGCAGAGAGACAAATTTGCAATTCTTTAATGCTGAGTTTTGAAATACTTATAATAAACTGGAAAACAACACATAAAATTGAGAGTAAATTTGATGAAATTCAAAAGGAGAGATCATGAAAGGTGGGATTTGAGGAGGGTGAAGAGTGATGACAGAAGCATAGAGAGCACAAATGGAGTGAGATGCAGACTCTAAAACTTTTGTAATTAACTAATTTTTGCATATCATCATCTGTGCTCTCTATCTTCTGTCAACAGCATCACCTGTTTTTTCCTCCTTAATTTTCCCACCTTCACTTTAGAGAGAGAGAAAAAGAAAAATAAAGAGTGAGAGAGAGAAGAGGAGATGAATGAACCTAATTAAGGACTCCATACAATTGGCCACTATTTATAGGAAAGCTTGAGAAGAATTTGGGGAAAAACAATGGTAAAAAGGTAGATACTTAGCTTTGAAGGGCTTTTTTTTCTTTCTTTCAAAAGGGTATCACACCCTSCAAAAATATATGTGGCTGTTTTCCAATGTACTATCAAAATTCTAACCGTTTCTCACGGGACCAAAATCAAAATCTTCACAACAGAAACTTTTTGCCTACTCATCTTATTCTTACCCATATCAGAAAGCTATCTTACCAACCCCACCTGATGATTTAAGGTATAGGCAAATAAAAAAAATTACAACTTAAAGGAAAAATTAATTGATAATTAGAAAAACATTGATAAAATTTTCAAATACTTTACAATATACTGAAATAAGAGAGAATGTAATAATGGGTGTCGTGTAAAATCATGAAGTTTTTTCATTTCATCAATGAGCCAAATTAGGCAGTGACAGAAGAAGGTGAAAAAAGGGTTTGATTTGAAAAATTCAGCAGAAAAATCTCTTCAGTGTACTGTGTGTACACTGTACAGTACAGCCTGAGTTTTGCAGTATAAATTGCACAAAATCCGCACAAAAAATCAGGTCCAAGGTCAGTTTGTTATGATTCTCATCTTGTTTTTTTTTTCCTTTTAAATTGACTCATTCTTCGAAATGGGGTGAGACCCACTTGAATTAATGCAGCCAAGAACAAAACCCATATCTTGATTTAGGGTTTCATACCCAAAAAAGAAAAAAAAATCAGAACTTTTCATACCAAAAAAAAAGCTAGGGTTTGTACCAAAACTTGCATATAGTAGTGGGGAGATGGTAAAATTTTGAGATTTTTTTTAAAAATTTTCTTCTTGTTTGTTTCTATGTAGAGTGAATATTATATTATTCTATAACATGACATGTTGTGTTGTGGGTTGAATTTATTCTTTCAAAGGAAGATGTAATAAATCAACTTTAAAGGTTGGACCCAGCCACATTCTATCACCCCAAAAAACAGTGTCAACTTTAATGGATGCATGGTTCGAGGAGTCACCATCATCACATCTCACCAGCACTTAATTTAGTTAATGAGAAACTTCTCAAATTTTCCTTACACAGAATCAAACAATCAAAGTTATAGGGAAATATAGCTGGTAGGAACTCTCAAAAATGGAAGTAAAAATCATTTAATATGGTTTTGTTTGGTGGGTTATATTAAATTCTGTGTGACGAGTGCAGACCTTGAGAATAGTGCCATGCAATACCCAGATTATGCTTCTAGAAAGGGATTTTGGAGTGTGCGTCTTGTTCAATCAATAGTGAATCAAAAAAGTTCTAAGCTAAAAATTTGATCTTTTATACCTATTTGGAAACTAAGCTAGGGCGCTATAATGCTTAAAAAAAGAAAAAAAAAACAAGGGAAAAAACAAGGGCTATTATATAAAATAGGAAGAAAATAAATGACATCTTACGAAAATAGTTAATAATTAATTTCAACTCGCTAACATGAGCATAACTCGATAATTGACACGTATATAAAGTTGGAGGTTCAAGATCTCGTACTCCTAATTTGTTTTACTAAAAGTTAAGTCATCCTTTACTTTAAAAGTGGATTTTATTTTTAATTTTTAGTTTTTAGTTTTCTTAAATTGTGCTGTATTATTCTCACAATTTTATTAGTGTACTTTTCATTTTGCTTAAAAGTACACATTATATTCTTGGCAAAATTTCAAAAACAAATTAAAAATGGGTTGAAAACGCTTTTAAAAATAAAGTAAATAACAAGGTAAAGAAATATATAGGTGAAAGTAAAATGTTTTAACTTAATTTTTAAAACAGTAAAAATAAAATGAAATGATTATCGATTGGGGTTATGATTATATTAAATTTAATGTCTGATACATATTACTTGACCTCGTTTCGTTGCTTTATAATGCGACGGATTTTGATCTTCAACCTTTTTGTCGTGTAATATGCGATGAATATAGTTTATCGTCGAAATTTCGTCACTGAAAGCTATATTATTTTGTTGTAGTGTTTGTTATCAAGGTTAAAGCCTGAACCTCTTTCCCATTAGAAAGAGAAGTTGGAGAGATTACTTTCCAACAGAGAAACAAGAGAATTTTGGTCAAGGTTAAAGCCTAAAACTTCTTTCTCATTCAGAAAGAGAAGTCAAGAGGTTACTTTTCCAACAGAGAAACAAGAGAATTTATAACACAGGATTAATAAGCTAAAGGTAAATTTAATCTTTTATACGTATTTTTTAACAAATAGTGTCGATCGTAACTCCACTCGAACTTGATTTGGTATCAAAGTTAGCATCTTCCACATACAGAAAGAGAGATTTTCTGTGGATTAAATCCCTAAGGAGCAACTTGTTGCCAGAAAAACATTGAGAAATAATAGAAAAGAAAAGAAAAGTTGAGATCCCTCGACACATATTTCTTATCTTGAAATGGGGCTGTTGGGTCATTTTCAGATAACAAAATAACCAAGAACACGACTATGGAAAAACCTCCAACACTACACGTGTCGACACCCCACTTTCACATTCATCATTCACTCACTATATGCCCCTTAACGAATGCCCTCATAATTGAGTCTCAACCAAAAATACAGCGGATCTCTCCATATTTCTCGTTCTATTCTTTATCAAGTGGAAGTGCAGTATATGCATCTCTCCATATTTCTCGTTCTATTCTTTATCAAGTGGGGTGCAGTGATGTAAATGCAGTTGAGGCAACCTAACAGTTCGATAAACTTAGAACCTTGTTCCTACATGAGATCGGATCAATTTGATTAGACACTCGCAATCTATTTTTCAAATGTTCAACTCTTTGACAACACGAAAAAATCATGGTTAAATTCTTTAAAAACATGGAAAAACTAAAAAATGGTTATGMACTCCCTCTCTATCTCCAAAGGATGGAAGSGCAAAGGCCTTTGATGTCCCCTCCCGTCAAGAATTGAGGCCTCACAATCACTAGCCGAGTTCAACTATTATCGTAGAAGTAGAGAATTCGAACAATGTGTTGGGACACTAGACTCTCTCCAAATTTCCACAATGGTACGATAGTATCTTCTTTAAACATAAGCCCTCGTGAGACTTTGCTTTTGTAAAAAGGCCGGCTCATATGAATGAAATTTGTTTGCACTTCTAACAGTATAGTCGACTTTAGATATGGTAATATGTGTCTTATCCATTTGAATTATACGTTTACGTACGTCTCAACAACAACATTCATATAGAGAAGCTTTTTGAGCTTGCTACCGTAAGCTGTGTTGGGAGCAAACTACGAAATGATCAAAGGGGCACAGAGAGTTTTTTTTTTTTTTTTTTGGCATCTAATTTTTTGACTGCTTTTTTTGGAATGTTGAAAGAGCAAGGAGCAGAAACATGTTGTGTTGGGTTGCGTTTAAAGTAGGCTGTTTCTTGATAAAAAGAAACTAGTGCCTAAAGAATTCCTCTCCCAAAAAACATAATATGTTTTTATTCTTCTACAAATTGGGCTTATCCAAATTGATTATTGTGGGAGTAATTAATTGAGACTATTATTCCCATTTCCCAGTCTTGAATGGATTTGACTACTTGATATGCCCTTGCCCTTGCTTTCCCCTTCTGGATGGACTTTGATTTGATCACTCTTTCTCTCTATACTCAAAATTGGCATTCTTGATCAATTCTCTCAAAGTCTGTGTATCCCTTCTCCACATATAGATACCCCAAAGCCAATGGTTTAATTTCTCTTAAATATTATTCTTTCCATACTTTTTCGAGGAGGATACGTGTCTATTATTTTACTCAATATTTTTTTCGGTGGAGGCAGGGAGTCCAATCACAATCGCTCTAATGATTCGYAGGAGGCTCTGTCTTTACGAAGATGCTAAGTAAACCTAATGATTTGCAAGAGGCTATTTGACCGACATATATAATGAATGACCTATGACTTAGAAGAGATAGAGATATATTAACCACATMATTTTGAGGATGAAAATTTGAAATATTAAGCTAAAGGAAAAAAATGATGAACACGAATGATATACAAAATTAACATTGTATCGTATTTGACAAATAATTATCTGAGACAATTTGACGAGAGGATACAGAAATTCACAATCTATGGTTGAAAACTAGAAGCTCTACATCTGAGTTGTACAAATATTCTCAAAGAATATTCTTTGGTTTTTTTGTATGGATGCTTCTAAGAATTTTGAGGAACTTTTGGATTACTACTAATATTCTGAGCAAATTATGGAAAAATATGAGATTGTCCTAATTCAATCCTCCTTTTTGGTATTTTTTCTCTCTCTCTATAATAAACGACACCAACGACCAAATATGGTAGAAACCAAGTATAACAATTTTAAGTAYGGGAATTTAAGAGTCCGTTCGGTGAATATTTTTGTTTTTTTTTTTGTTTTAAAATAGGCCCTTTGATAACCATTTCCATTTTTTGTTTTTGTTTTTGTTTTCCTCAAAGACGATTTTAAAATCTCATTTTTCATTCAAATACTCAAACTTTTTTTTCTTTGGCATATTTATTATCTCTAAATAAGAAATACATGTCCCGACCGTCTTCTGATTCCATTTTCTAAATAATCTGTATATATTTTATTGACATATTTATTAAATTGTGAATAAAATATTAAATACTTTTAACTAATTATTTATACTAGTAATAATAATTTTAAAAATAATTAATCTATATATTTATTACAGTTTTTTTTATTTCTTAAATTCTAAAAATAATTAAAATGAATTATAAAATTGGTAGTTTTTCCCGCAAATATCTCCGTCCCCAAATAAGAATTCTTTAGCATGGATCTCCATTTTCGAAATGAAGAACAAGGTGGAAATGGAGAACTACAAATTTTCATCAATACAGTGTATGGGAGAGACATCCTCACTCCCGTCCTATATCATTCCTATTTRTAGTCTACATAGAATTTTCTCTCTCTAATATATATTTTCAATTTTCTAACTTTAAAAAATATAACTAAAAATAGTTAATTACTAACCCTGTTTTATTTTCAATGTTTAAAAACAAAAAACAATTATCATAAATTTTTAAATACAGAAAACAACAAACAACAAACAAACCAAAAACCAAAATAGGCCCTAAATGTTTGACCTCTGTTTTTCTTATAAATTAATGGTCTTATTTTCTTCACTGTGTTCACTAGCTAARGACAAGTTGAATGCATCCATTAATTACTGGTCAGTATCATGTTGTCGTTGAACTAAGAAAAAAGTCCAAGTTATATGGAAAGTATCATATTTTTAATTGGGTTAAATATATATTTTAATCATGTTTGAGATTTTTTTAAAAAAATTAATCTCTACTGTTTTAAAAGTTTCAATTTAGCCCATCATATTTGAACATTTTCCAATTTAAGTCCCCTCACTATAAATAACGGTAAAAACTAGTTGATGATAAACTTACATAGTAATTGAATGGGTAAAATTTAGAGGGGAAAAAGATCGACAGTAAAAAAAAATTTGAAATTTATATCAATTTCTTATAATCTTGAGAAACTAGAAACTCTATTATCTTAAACAACTATTTTTTTCCTGAGTTTATCATTAGTCAATGTAACAAGAACTAAATTGAAAATGTTAAAATATAGTAAACTAAATTTTTTAGACATTAAGAAACCAAATTATATATTTAGCCATTAATTATTATAGTATAATTTTTATAAATAAATCCATATTTAGGATTTAATATGTCTTTTTCTTGATTAATTTATGTTAGTTTAAACGATCCTGACATTCAACATTAGATATACGCGTATATACACACACTTCACACCTAGATGATTGGGCCTCGTATAACGGCCCACTAACCCTCCATCAGAAAAAAGGAGGAAGCCCACATTTGATCAAGCTCAAAGCCCATACCATTGGAACCCAATCCTTGCCCATAAAAAACAAAAAATTATATTATTTTTTAAATTTGTCCAAAATTTATAGATTTAAAATTGCAATCATATTTCCACAGAGCCTTTTCTTTCCTAAAAATGGGGAAAAAGAGAGAAAAGGTTCCATTATCATTTCTATTATACCCCAACTTATAGAAATGCTCTTTTCCATGACCTTCCATAAATGCCATCGGAAAATAAAATGTTTTTGGAATAATATGTCTAGAAATACAAATTTTTTTTTTATAAGCAAAAATATTATTGTATTTGATTTTGCATAAAAATGTTATCATATCTTCATTAGAATAGAATGCGTGTTTGTATTTATTTAATAGGAATAATATGAGAAATATAATATAATTATGATATATTAATTAATAAACTAATTAAAATTAATTTAAAACAATTAATAGAGATTACCTCATGAGAAATTAATGAATCATTTTAATTGAGTAATTAATTATAAGCATTAAAAAATGTATTTTTACCCTAAATTAAGTTAACGCATTAAAATTAAATAATTAATATATGATTAAAAGTTTGTTTAACTATAATAAAATAAATATTAAGCCCACCCTATACAAATATTAAATAAAGCAATTATTTCTATTTATTATGTTTATTTATTTATAATAATTTATATATTTAATTAAATATATAATTAAATTAACACTAGTGGGTAAACAAAGTGAATATATGATACTCCATTAGCGATTTGGATGACCAACTCACTTCTCCTCTCATTAGTACTGCATCCCGTTGAGATATATTGTAAGTTTACAATCACTTTCTTCTAAGTTTTTGTTAGTATGATATTTTCCATTTAACATAATTTTTATGACTTTAGTTTTGGTTTATCTATTAATACGAAGTATTTAATAGCAGATCTTTCTTCTCTCCACAAACGTAGAACTTTATTTGCACCGTTAACATTAGTCTTCTAACGAAGTTTGAGACAGGTGAAAAGAACAGTAGGTATCACTCCATTAAAAAATTCTCAATTCTAACTGAAGAGATGTTCATTTTTCTATGGGACTGTCTGGCGGGAATGCACCTAAATAGGGTGGAATATTGCCATTTAAATTTTATGCAGGGCGGAATAATGAGGGAAAAATTTTCCCCACCACCTAAATGGGGATGGGGATGGGAATATTTTCCGTCCCGTCATTTTTTTAATATTTATATTATTTTCTTTATTATTTTATTATTTATATTATTTCATATATTTTATCTATCCATTTACCTAATATATATTTGAGAGGATTAAGTCTTAGAAATTAAGTAATTAGATAAATTTTCTTTAAAAAATATTTATTAAAAAATAATTTAAAAATAAAAAAAAGAAACGGAGAAAAATTCCCATCCTTACGCGGCCAATCCCTGTCCCGCTCCCTTATGGAAAATTTAGCCGGAACGGAAAATTAAATGGAGGGCGAGGCTGAGGACGGGGAGGCTTCCTCATCCTTGCCCCGCTACACCCATGAACATCCCTACCTGGCTCTCTTAAAACTGAACCTACTCGAACCCAATCAGTTCAGTTCTTTATGTTTGTTTTTTTTTTAGGGAACTATTTAGAGAGCAAAATGCTGCACCGGTGGCTGCTCCCTCTTGCACTGATCATAGCAACGGTTCCATGCTCACAAGCTGTTCAAAATCAAATAAACAACAACAACATGATCACAAAAACCCAAACTTTTCTTTCCCCACCATTCATTTCCACACCCGGTTCAGTAATGGAGAGATTCTACCACAACATCAACTTCCCAACACCCCACATCGCCATAAAAAGCTTCGACCTTGAAGTTGTAGACCAATCAGGCAACAGCATCTCACTCTTCGACACATTCCTCCATCACTGGTCCCTCGTGAGGTACTTCCAACACAGCACCGCGCCAGACCCAACTCCCAATACTTCATTCACTCAACTTCACGAACCAGATTTCATCATCGCTACCAACAATGGAGTCTGCCAACACCATAGCTTGCCGCAGTTCTATGGCATGGGATCGGAATCGAGAAAAACGTCGACGTTTCTCCCACACCCATATGGGATAGAAGTTGGGGATGCCGTGCAGGTCCCTGCAGGGTATGAAGAGAGGTGGAGCCTTAATGTACACGTAATAGACACCAGGGGCGTGGAGGACAGGATGGGGTGTACGGATTGCTGGTGCCATTTGTATAATGTTACGAAGGATCAGTTTGGGCGGCCATTGAAAGGGGATTACAAAGGAGGGAAGCTGTGCTGTTATGATCAAACGCAGTGCAGAGTGAGGGAAGGTTATAAAGGAGAGGAGAGGAAGTTGTATGTGAGATATAGAGTGAAGTGGGTGGATTGGGATGATGATTTTGTGGTTCCTGTGGAGGTTTATATATTTGATGTCACTGATACTTGGAACCCATTGTTGAATGACTCAACAGGACTATCTGATCAACAGCATCACTGCCTTGTAAGTTCTCTCACTTTTTAAAGCTATTTTTCAAGGATCAATAAAAAGGTTAAAAGTGTTGGGTTTTTAAAGGTTCAAAAATCTCACGTTTGAAAGATTGAATTTTTAAAAGAAATTCATCCCTTTTTAAGTTTTGATGAAACACTTTGACCTGATATAAACGTGGCTCATTGGTCCAAATAGATTAGAGTTAATTAAGAATGAATGAATTTAAACTCCGCCACCTATCTAGGAATTAGTAATTCCAATGGTGAATCTTCAAATTCTACCTAAATGATATATATCTATCTATCATACTACTAATATGAGTGTAGAAATAGGAGACATATTTTGAAATACACAAATGATTTTTGCTATCCACCACAATTTCCCTTTTTTTTTAATTTTATCAATTTTAGAGCTAAATTCAAAGGACGAGTTTTGAGTCAAAAGATTCTCATTTTTTTGTACTTTTTGTAATTGGAGTCGAGAAGAGAATTTTGTAGTGTTTTCTCCAAATGAGAGTATTTGCACATAAATTATTGTGCTATTAGATTGTTGGTATTCCTACGGTAAAAGCGTGAGTAATTTTTTTTTTCTAGCAACAATTGATGCTGCAATGAATATCTTGTCTTCTCGCCTATTTGTAGGTCGCGTATGATGTAGAAACTTGCTCTCTCGCGAACAAGCTCCATGGTAAGTGCAATGCTACAAAAACATCAAAGGTAATCTTTCCGGGAGACAGTGGCTACATTATCTATGGAGTGGCTCATCAGCACATTGGTGGGATTGATGCAACCCTTTATGGAGAGGTAATCCAATTATGGCCTTCATATATTCATTTATAGTCTTTTTTTTTAACAAAAAATGAATTAGTTTTTTTTTTTGTGTGTGTAAATGGTACGATTAGGATGGAAGAGTTTTATGTTCTTCTTCACCAATTTATGGAAGAGGAAATGAAATTGGAAACGAAAATGGTTATGTTGTTGGAATGTCTACTTGTTATCCGAAGTTGGGTAATTATGTGAAGATCAATAAAGGAGAAATGGTGACTCTTGTATCCAACTATGATCCCTCGCAAAACCACACCGCTGTTATGGGTCTCTTCCAAATTATGGTTGCACACAAAATTCCAAATTAGTATTTCTTTTTTCTTTTTAAATCTACAACTCGAAGAAAAAAAAATATTCATAAACTAATTGAACTATATTCAGGCTGGCATTGAAGTTGCTACTTATTTTCCGATAGAAGTCTTTCATCTTAAATGTCTAAATATGATTGAGAGAAAGGTAGGAGAGGAGACTTGATTTCAGCTTTCATTTCCTACAAAGTTTAAAATAAAAAAAATAAAACCTTTGTCCATGTTTTATTGGGCCATGTTTCTGAGTAGTAGCAATTGAGAAAATCTCTTAGTAATATAGCTACTCCGTTACGAAAAATTTAGATACTTACCCCTATGAAACTTTTTACTCACGAAAATCAAATAAAATTCGAAATTCGAAATAGATAAGAAAAAGAAAAGAAAAATCTCTCTTCTAATTTATAAAATCTCTTGTGATTATTCTTTTAGATTATAAACGATGGAATCATTGGCCTATTTCAATATAATAATAATATAAAAATGAATGCATGCATATTTGATACTTTATGCTATTTACCAATCGCATTTGTAATAGTATATAGGACGAGATTGGACTACCTCCTACATATTTGATACTTTATACTATTTACCAATCGCATTTGTAATAGTATCAATTACCTGTTAATGGAAAAAAAAGAAAAGTTAATTTAGCTAATATTCTTATACTTTCTATTGATATCTCCTCATCACTATTAACAAAAAATAGAAAACTAAGAGATAGTAAATAGATTTTTAATAAAAGAAATAGTTGTTTTCTCCAAAACGACAAGTCGACAACTATCTAAATTTCGCTAATTAAATAGAAAACTATAAATAGATTTTTAATAAAATGAATAGCTGTTAAATTTTTTTTTATGACCGAACGTAAGGTAAGTATTTACGGACGGCAGGTGTAGATACCAAAACTTAGGTGTCGGCAGAAAAGGCCCAATCAAATCCATCCCATCCCCCACCAAACCTTCTGTCGTTATTAATCAAGTATTTAATTTCTTTTGTCGATATTTTCGTGCGTAAGTTCAAATCAATCAACGTTAATGTAAATTACTTTTCTCAGAAAAAAAAAAAGTGTAAAATGCTTTTTCTTTTTAATTTAAATATTCGAGTATTTTTATTTTTATAACTATTTTCCTTAAATACATTTTTATCGACATTCATGACACGGAGATTTCGATATTTCTATCCGCTATCAATATTTAAAATCTTGATTAAAATATATGATTATTTGAGATTCTGTTTGATATTTTTTTTATTTGTAACCAAGCGTAGTTATATCTTACAATTCATTTTTTTTTAATACAACAGGAAGCCTATAATTCACTGTTGATCTTAAAAAGATAATTAAATATTTCATATAAATTTCAATGAAACATAAATAAAAAAAATCAAAATTACAAGTATAGTCTCAAAATTTAGAGAGTTTAGGTCGAATAGAACTTTCAATTTTATATTTGATAAATTTCTGAAGTTTTAAAAGTATCTAATAAATATTTATCATATTCAATATTTTTTAAAATCATAAAATATATCGAATATAAAATTGAAAAGTAGAGTCTATAAAACACAAATTTCCATTAATATCTAATAGGTCAAAAAAAAAAAGGAAATTACTAAGCATATAAAATTGAGAAGCGAACTAACATCAATTTGAGGGCAGATGTATCTATTCAATTTATAGAAATGTAAATAAAAAATATTGATAAAATGTCAATGTTGTTAGACAAAAAAATTCATAAAAATTATTTAAATTTACTAATAAATCTTCACTTTTGTTTTTAAAATGACTTTTACAAAGCTAACAAGATAGCTTAAGCGTTGAACTATTCTAATATTAACAATATTTTGTTGATGTTAATTTATATTTCATCAATTCTTTTATAATATAATGTAAATGGTAAAGAGACCAATAAAAATATAAAATAATGTTTCTCTATAGATTCGTCCTTCAATTCATTTGGTCCTTCCTTCCTTCTCCCTCCGAAAAAACCAAAACTTTTTCAACAAGTAGAGGTGAGAGAATTTCAAACTTACGACTTTTTAATCAGGTGTCAATAACTAATTGGCGAGAGAAGTAACTTACTTGTAGTATAAACCATCATTGACATGTCCCTTAATGTTCACCAATCTTAGATCGGATTCTATTTTTAGACCGGATACTCGTTTGAGTTTTTTGGACTCTAATACTATATCAACCGATTGACATATAGTAACTCACTTCTATTATATTATAAATCCGTGTTAGGTTTCATTGGGTATATTTATATTTTTATTAGGCAGATAAGATTTAAGTTGGTGTACATGATGTGGCCATTAATCCGACAAATTAATATGGCAATTATCAAAGTCTGTATCCACTTTATCATCTTTTGTCTCGGGCTGATCCACTTAGTTCCCAACCATAATCTCCATCCGCTTAAAGGCGACGACCTTTCTCTCCAATTTCTCAAGTCTCTGTATAACGTCGCCGTCGTCATCCACTACGGTAACTCATCATCCGGCCATTCTTATTTCCTAATTCTGTTTCCATTTCTTTTCCAATCCTCTCCTTCGCTTCATTATGTTTCTTAATTATCTTCTTAATTCTTCTTTGATTTTTCTCCTCATTACTAATCCACTTAAAAGCTTTGAATATAGCTGTTTATAGTTCATATTTTTATTGGTCAGCATGCTATTCTATCTTACTGATTACTTATTAATGTTTATAATTTTTCTGTTTCCATTCATTTTTGTCCTACCATGTTCGTTGAGATTTTGATTCTTTTAAAAATTTGGATCTCATCTTCTCGATATTGTTTCTTTATATCATAATACTTCATTCTTTTTTTAAATGTAGTCATAATCTGTATTGAAATGTTTCAATTGTAATAAAATTTATGTTAAAGTTTTATAAATAAAAATCAAATTAGTTGTTTTTTTTAAGTACATGAACCAAAAGAAAATATTCCAATGAAGAAAGATTGAAAGTTACCCTAATAGTATTTAAATTTATCACTCGGTTAAAATGAAGAAAGGATTAAAGTTCGTACGATCGAATTTTGTGTCTAGTCTTATATTTTCAATTTTATGTCTGAATTTTAAAATTTTCAAATAAGTCTAAAGACTATTCACGTTGGATTTATAAGAAAAATACAAATATCATCATAGTTCGTTGTGCTTGATAAAACATTTATTAGACACATGGACTAGACTTATAAATTAAGGGACAAAAATAATTTTGAGAAAAAAAAAAGAAATTTGCTACATGAAAAAACACATTTATAATTTGATTTTCTGTGACATGATCTTTGAAGGTGATCAGAATTATCTGAAGATCAACAAAATGTTGCAGTACAGCTGGCTGCTCCCTTTTGCAGTGATCATAATGGCGAATGCGATGGTGCCACTGCCATGCGCGGAAGGAGTTCGAAGAAACGTCCAAATGAAAACGATCATAAAAACCCAAACTTTTCTGTCCCCATTATTCACTTTAACGCCCGGTTCAGTGGCGGAGAAATTCTACTACCACATCAACTTCCCCAAATCCCACATCGCCATAAAGAGTTTCGATCATGTCGAAATTGTAGACGAATCAGGCAATCCCCAGCCACTCTCCGAAGCATATCTTCACCACTGGGCCGCCGTGAGGTACTACCAACGCAAAGACGCAGCAGACCCAGATCCCAATACTTCATTCACTCAACTTCAGGAGCCAGATTTCATGATTGCAGGCAACAATGGGGTCTGCCAAAAACAGAGCTTGCCGCAGTTCTATGGCATGGGGTCTGAATCAAGAGAAACGTCGACGTTTCTTCCACACCCATATGGGATAGAAGTTGGGGATGCTTCACAGGTTCCTGCAGGGTATGAAGAGAGGTGGTGCCTGAATGTGCATGTTATAGATACTCGAGGGGCAGAGAACAAATTGGGGTGTATGGAGTGCTGGTGTGATTTGTATAATGTTACTGCAGATCAATTTGGAGTGCCTTTGGGGCCACATTACAGAGGAGGATTGAGGTGTTGTTATGATGGAGCACAGTGTAGAGTAAGTGGAAGTGGTTATGGAAGAAATTTGTTTGTGAGATATACTGTGAAGTGGGTGGATTGGGATGATTTCGTGGTTCCTGTGGAGGTTTATATATTTGATGTCACTGATACTTGGAACCCATTCACAGATGATTCTGATCAAGATCCTCAACATCACTGTCTTGTAAGTGCACTTCCTCTTTCGTACTCGGAGACAAAATCTTACGTTCTAACTTTTTATATATATAATTTGAATAGATGCAACCGCATGAATATTGATATTCTCCCGTGTTTCATATAGGTGGAATATGACGTGGTTGCTAATTGCAATAATAATCCGACAAACAAGGGTTATGATGAGTGCAATGCCACAAAAAGGACAAGGCTAATGCTTCCAAGTGGTGGGTATGTGATCTATGGGGTGGCTCATCAGCACATTGGAGGAATTGGTGCAACCCTTTATGGAGAGGTAATCCAATTTACAGCTCTTTTTAAGTTTGAACAAAAGTTGAATTGAATTAGTGTGTTTAATTTGTGTAAATGGGGTATGATGATTTGATCACAGGATGGAAGGGTGTTATGTTCTTCTTCACCAATTTATGGAGAAGGAAATGAAGCTGGGTATTTAGTTGGAATGTCGACTTGTTATCCGCAGCCAGGCTCTGTAAAGATAAATAATGGAGAAATGATGACGGTTGAATCTAAATATGATCCCACGCAGAATCATACAGGTGTTATGGCTCTGTTCCATGTTATGGTCGCACAAAAATTGCCAAAATCATTGCTTAAAATGGAAGCATTATCCAAGGTTCCTGATGACACCAATATCTAATCTCACGCGCAGGTGAATCACAACGCATTTCAACTGCTCTTGACCTAATTTCAAATTGAATTTTTACATTGAAAAAAAAAACACGGAATAATTGGATTGTGTCGGATTTTATAGAATTTTAGAGTAAATTATTTATTCAACTTTGTGATGTTTTGATTTTTGTTAATGAATTTTGATTAAAAACCTGTATCATTAAACCTTTCATTTTCTTTTTCTTAACGAACAAATTTAATTATATATATTCATTTTAAATCATTCTATAATCCAAAACAAGATAAAGAATTTAAAATAACTTCTCGAAGTTCAAATCATTTCTTGAAATGCCAAACCGAGGTTAAATCTCTATTTTAGTAGGTTTGGGTCATTAGGTCTGGTAACCTTTTTTATTTTTGTTTTTTGTTTTTTATTTCCTCCTTTTTTTAATAAATAGAAACCTTATNCCTGTTTCCTGTTTATTGTTTCTAATTTTGTTAGAACTAGAAACAGAAATGCGTTTGGTAACCATTTATGTTTCTTGTTTCTTGCAAAAAAGAAAAAAAAACAAAAACATGTTTCATAATTATTGCAACTTTTCTCTCGTTGTCTAAAAGTTTAAATTGGAAAAGTAAAAGTTTTTATATTAAATTTTATTTTAAAATTAAAACTAAAATTAAAATTTTTATGTCATCTATTGACTTTTCAAATATTTATTACGCTTTTATAACATAAGAATATTAAAAGAATACTTTTATTTACGTTTTTGAACAAATTGTAGATACGAACAACTTGGTTTTGTTGTTTCTAAAATTTGTACACAATTTTAGAATTGTTTCAAAAATAAGAAATGTAAATAGTTATCAAATGTTTATATTTTTCAAAAATTAGATAAACGAGAAGTGAGAGAGACAAGAACATTGATCGGACAGGCTCTAAACTTTTAAAAGGTTCCTTTTGCTTTCTGAACTTAAAATATTCCTTATATTTATTAATTTTCTCAACAAATTGGCAATATATGAACTTCAAGTATGTATATTATTACTAATATGATTATAATGTGAGCATATCTATTCAAGCCATGTAAATTAAGAGTACTCTTGAGTAAGTAATAAAATAGGTGACAAAATAATATATTAAGGATCAAACTAATGTTTGCTTTTTATATGTCAAGAACTAAAATATACATTTTGAAAGTTCGGGTATCAAAATAGGAACTAGAGCGGAGAGTACATGTCTTTAGAATTCTAGCTAAATTTATACAATTCAATATTGATTTTTGAAAACTAATTTTTTAAAATAAATTTGTCTTTAAATATGGTAACTTTATTATTATTTTTAAGAGGTATTAAGGGCTTTGGTAGCGATTCTATTTCTTGTTTCTCGTTTACAATTTTCTTAAGAAATTTAAGCATTTTACAACTAACTATATTTCTTTTTTTTTTTTTTAGGAACATTCTCAAATTTGTATTGAAATTTTGGAAACAATGTTTAAAACAAGTTTCTCTTTTCTGGTTCTCATTTCCAATTTGTTCCAAAATATAAATAAAAAATTGTTTTATGATACTTGATCAATTCATGGTTATTGGAGTCATGCAATTCATTTTTCTTTATTAAAAATGAGAAAATAGTAATGTTACCAAACGAGTCATAAAATGACTGTTTATTAAACTAGCTAGGGTTTGTGCAGGTGGGAGCGCCAAGGGCATTAATTACCTTGCAAGCTAAGCTAGGAAGGGAAAGCCCTAAAGCCATTGTCAAAGTTCTTTCAAGCTTGGGCTGTAATCTTCTGCTTATTTTTCCTCCCTAAGCTCTTTCTTCTTAAATGACATGCCTTTCGTTAGGTGATTTGTTCACCTACTTTCTACTCTCTCAAGTTTGAGTTTCCAACTAAGTCCAGTAAATGTTTGTTTAACTATTCTTGTGTTTATTGCAAAATCTTATTAGTTAGGGTGTTTTCCCTCATACTTTGATTCATGTATATGCTACTTGGAGCGATGTGAAAGTTAAATATAACACTACAAGAAATAAAGTCTTTCGGTGACGCACCAAATTTCGTCGACTGAAATCATCTTTGACGACTAAACAAAATTTGGTTGCTAGAGAGGATCTTTGGCGACAAAGTTATTTTCGTCGTCAAAGAGGACCTATGGTGACGAAGTTAATTTCGTCGCCATAGACCTTTCACGACAATCTTCTCATGACAATTTTAATGACGAACAAATTTCGTAACCAAAGGTCAAAAAGAAATAATATAAGTATAAAATAACTGGTAAAAGTTGTAAAGTAGTATTATAAAAGTGTGAGGTTCACGAAATAAGGAAATGATAATGAAATTGAAGAGGTTATAAGAGATGAATGAGATTACACCGTTTTGGACGGAGTGATTACAAAGTTTTGAGGTGAATTTTTGATCCCATTCCAACAATTGAGTAAACACCATAAAAACTAAACACTGGCCTAGGATTACAAAAATCTAAATCTCCCAGCTTTAAACTACACAAATCTAGGATTAATTATTAGAACACAGACCAGTGTTTTCACTTTGCAATACCCATTTTTTAAAAGCAAAGAAAACTACTGTTGAATAATAAATCACTTAGGATAATTATACACAATATTAAGTTCTCATTTATTAAATGTAACTTATGAATGATACCTAATTTGGTAGTTGGATGATCAAAATTTCCACCATTAGTTTCCCTTCCCCCTATCAGATAGCCATAAATGACACAGATTATTGTGATTTCAGTTCTCTCTCTCTAGAAATTAGGAGGAGGCAGCTGAGAAGAAGGGGAAGAATGAGGATGGGGAGGATCAAAAGATCATATGAGAGGCTAAGAAGTGAAAATGCAGAAGAAGAAGGAGAAGAATATGATGATGATGATGAACAGAAGAAGAAGAAGAATAATCCAAGAAGAAGCATTAAAGTTGCAGTTGCAGAGCTATGGAAGAAAATGGACGAAGGAAAGCCAAAATTAGGGCTGCCCTTTAAGAGCTTCATTGCTACTTATGAAACAATGATGCTTTGTTTTGCCCACAATCTTGTGCTCTCTCAACAATGGTAATTTTCACTTGTTCTAGCTATTTAATATACATGCCTTTTCAGTAAGCTTTAATATATTTTTCACACTTATTTAGAACTTCTTGTAATTTAATCTTGTTTAGTGCCATACAAATATGTTTATTAAAGAGGGTGGGAGGAAGAATAAAGGAGAGTGATTATCACCCTGTACTTAGTTTAACAATAATTAACATCTATCTTTAATTAAGAGAGCGTGAGTTCGAATCTCTCATCTCATTTTGTTGTAAAAGAAAGATAAGTCATGTTTTTAGTCGATCTTAAATTAAAAAAGTTACGTAAAATAAGATACAATTTTAAGACTACCTCCCTAGAAGAATTTTTTACTTCATCCTTGTTTATTAGTGAATACATTAATCATGCTCTAACGATGATTGTAGTGATTCACGATCGTTAAACTCAAAAAATACATAGATCTTTATTTATTTATTTATTTATTTTGCTATTTGTGACTTTATTTTATTTTATTTAAATTTGGTGTCACAGAATTTCAAAATTGTTGTAGTGAATAGTTGGATCATACCACACGTATACATAAACCTTATTAATTTATCTCATTTAAAGGTGGCATCACAAGATTGTATGCTTTTTAGGTAAAATACTTTTTTAAGTTCCATAAAATTTTCTAATTACTTTTTCATTGTCCCAATAGACTACGAAAATCAGTAAAGAGTTAATTCTACATAATAATATTATTCAATAATGTATAAATAATTGTAAAAGAAGATATTTGAATAAATCTTCCCCATTTTATACATTTTGAAATTCTAGAATAATAAAATGTAGCAATGAATATTATTTTGCATTATATATATATATATAGTTTATACTTAATTAAATTAGCAAAAGATGAGAGAAAAAATCTCAAACCCTCACTTTCATTAAATGCAGTATTACATTATTATTATTTTTTTCTTTTCCCAACTGTCGACAGATAGATCACATCAAAAGAGAAAGTCAATCTATTTATTAATTAATAATAATAATAAATAAATAAATAAAGAGGAAAATAAATATATATGAAAAATAAATCTAGAAAATTCGGAAAAAGTACATATTAAACTAAGATTCAAAATTGGAGTTTGTATTAATTGTGATTTTCTATGACCCATCATGTGACTGCAACAGAAAATACCAAAAATGCCATTTATCATATGAACACATGCTGGCAGTGAGAATATTCTTGAAATTTTAATATTTTAATATGTTCTTACCCACATAAATTTATGTTACACACTAGATTTACACACTATTAATTTAAAAATAACCAAGGAACAACAATTCAACCATACTTTTATATTATAACGTGTAAAATTATAGGATAGAAATTTTACACCCTTTAATCGTATATGTTACTCATAATATTCCCTTCAAATAAGATTGTAATAAATATTTGAAAATTTTCACTCCATAGTATAAATTCAATTATTTGTCTTAATTTAATTTAGATTATGCTTTTCTTTAATTTTAAACTTTCTACTCTATTTGAAAAAATATGTTTATTTTATATTTGAGTTTGAGTTTAATTTTCATGGTGTTATTTTTATAAAATTTCAAAGATATATATAAATAAAAATTTAATTCTCTCAAAAAAAATAAAAATAAAAATTTATTTTTACAATATTTATTTAAATATCTCTATTAAAAATACAATTACTCGCATATTGAAAATAATAACATTAATAATAATTAGTAGAAATATAGAAATTAAAAATATATTTTTACGAAGAAGAGAAAAAAAGGGCAAGTTGGAAAGTGTAAAGAGGGTAAGGTAGCGTTAAAATCACGAAATATGAAGAGCAAGTGCACGCATCTCACTCTACTATGCCTTAAAATTCTCAAATTCCCTTCTATATATTTTTACTTTTTACATATCTTTTATTTCATGGCCATTCCTCACTTCCTTCGAATTTTCAATTTTATCCCTCTTTTCGATGTACCATGTTCCAACCACAATTATTTTTAACTTTAGCAACATACGAATTTCAACTTCAGCAATATATGGGGCGGGAATTTAATTCTCCAACCTCTTGATCAAGGATATACGTATCTTAATTAGTTGAGTTGCATAATGATCGAGTGATTCGAAGTAGAAGATATCTAGTTTTGTTGAGATAATAATATAAAAAGAACCGTGTTATTACATTATTAGGATACTTAATTTAAGGGTTAGTTTAAGTTTTGAATTTGGTCAAGTCTCAATAGAGCATAGAGTGCACCTCCAAACATGATGATTACCACTAGTCATAGATTGCCTAGTAAAAATTGTTGTACCTCTCCTAATAATTAACTAATGAAACTTGATAGGACCGTATAGGGTGTGGTCACACATTATTAGTTATGCCTTCGTAATATTAGGATTGGGACGTGCTAGCTAGTATGAGATTAGCATAGAGGGTGGCAACACACCACATGAAACACTCGTACATATGAGTATTAGGCCTAACTTCTCGTCATGTGAGTTGGATATTTGATACTAGTTGTATATGAATGTACAGATAAAAATTTCCTAAAATTCTTCCATTACAAGTAATGAAGATGATTTTACATTAAAAAAATCGAGAAATAGTCCATCGATGATAAAAATATATATATAGTTGCTCAATTCTAAAAAAAGTGACAAAGAAAAGGTCATGCATACTATTGCCATAACTTTACTCAAATTCACTATTGCAATGTAAACTTGAAATGTAAGAAATATTCTCATTTCATATAATCAAATTATAACATAAAATACAAATTTTTATATTATATTAAAAAAAAAGGGAATGGGCATTTTTAATAACATGACTTTTTTTTTATAGAATAGAAATAAAAAGGATTAAATAATACCCATGTTTCAATTAAATTGGCCAATTGTGTGTTCCATTCCAATCTTGAATCTAATTTTGCCATCTGAGAAACAGAATTCAATAGTACTGGTTGACTAAAATGGATCCACCACCTCCGGCCGCTGCAGCAACGGCCGCCGCCGCCGGTCAGCACAACTATCAGGATTCCGTAGAGTCCTCGCCCCGCTCCCACAATGCCGACTCGTGGGACGACCCTATCGCGCCGGTTCCCGGCGCCAAGCTCCGCCTCATGTGCAGCTATGGCGGCCACATTATCCCCCGCCCCCACGACAAATCCCTCTGCTACGTCGGCGGAGACACCCGCATTGTCGTCGTCGATCGCCATTCCTCCCTCGCCGACCTCTGCATGCGCCTCTCCCGAACCCTCCTCAACGGCCGGCCATTCACCCTCAAGTACCAGCTCCCTCACGAAGATCTCGATTCCCTCATCTCCATTGCGACGGATGAAGATCTCGAGAACATGATCGAAGAGTACGACCGAATCACCATCGCTTCACCCCTGAAGCCTTTACGCATCCGCCTCTTCCTCTTCTTCACGAAGCCTGAAACCGCGGCTTCCATGGGGTCGCTGCTTGACGATGCCAAACACGAAACGTGGTTCGTCGATGCCCTAAATAACTCCGCCGGGATGATTCCGCGGGGGCTCTCCGATTCGGCCACAATGGAATGTATGGTGGATCTCGACGCGGTTCGGGAGAGTGATTCGTGCAATGATTTGGAGAATCAAGGTCGCGACTCTCTTGGGCATACTGACAAACAGGTGGCGAATAATAGCAATTCCGTCCATGACGTGCAATCCATTCCCGATTCTCCTGCGGTGGAAAATGATTCTTCGTTTGGCTCGTCTTCTTCGGTTCCGTCGATGTCCAACTTGCCTCCGATACGCGTCCGTGTGGAGGAGACGGAGGGCAGAGTTCAAGATCCGAAGGTGGGACTGGAGGAGCAGTTTGGGCAGATGAATTTTGGCGTACCTCCACTTCCTACGGCCTTGGCTACTGGTGTAACTGTTCCAACAACTGCCATTCCTAATCATGAAAACGCCAACCGTGCCTTCTCCGACGACGAGAGGCCGGAGCACGGTGGTCCGGTCGCGTTTCGGAAGCCTCCATTGCCCTTACAGATGTTGCAGAACAGGGCTGTTGCCGGTCCTGCCGTCAGCGGCGGTTTTAGTCTACCGTCGCCGGATTCTGTTGCCAGGTAAAAATTCAGCATGAATCTGACTTTCTTTTAAAAACAAAATTTGACCTGCTCTGAATTAGTTTGGCTCATTAATATAATTTGTCTGATGTTTTCCCAATTTCTTGTTCCGTTCCTCTGGGTCCCATTCACTTTGCCTTTCTCTCCAAAATCCTGTTTTAAGTTCATGAGCTTCCAACTTCTTTATGGAAATATAATAATAAGATAGTTACTAGTTTACTCTTGTGAAGTACGTATGATCTCATTTTGATCTTATAGTTGTTGTAAATTGTTCTGATCTGAGCACATGTTCTTATTTGGAGCTGTTTGTGCGTGCCAATAATTTATGTTCTTTGCTTCTTTATATTTTCAAGATCATACGTGCTTCTAACATTCTGTTTTTGAAAAATTGAAAACTAAACATGAGAAACATCTCCAAATTAAGAATGGAAAACATGTTCTTGTTGATTTCTAATCAGTTTTGAAATGGTTCTTCATTGGAAAGTGTTTTTGGTGTAACAGCGATAGTAGCATAGCATCTGCAAATTCTCAGTCCAAACCCATGTACTACCAAGACCAGATTTTAAGAGACAACACAGTTCCAGGCATTCCCATTGCTGAAAGTGATGGTTACATGACAAGTCAACAAGTCCCAATTCAACAGCTCCATGACCCTACCTATGTATTAACTTCACAATTAGATCAGAAGCAGCCTCAACAACCACAACAATTTGTCCACTCCACGACCCATTACATCCACCACCACCATCCTGCAGCGACCGGGCATGTCCCCGTTCAATCGTATTATCATCCTATCTACACACAAACACCATCTCAACAGCAACTCCATCATCCAATTGATCAGCAATATCCAGTCTATATTATGCCCATTGCACAGACTCAACAGGCCTACAACGTGCCTGTGCAATCTAGTGCTGCTGAGACTCCAATGGCTGCACCGAACCGGCAAGCATCACCTAGTCCTGCCATGGTTTCTTCTCCAGTTACCTACAATGACAGTAATCCGCCACCCCTCTATGCCCAGAAGGCTGCTACCCCAGCAGCTATGCAAGAAATGGCAGCAAACATGTACAGAACTGCAGTGACCTCGACTCCTCCTCCCTTATTACAGGTTCCTCACAATCAGTACCAGCAACCATACATGGGTCTTGCTCAAATGAACTATCCATCTCAATCTATAGCTGTCGCTCCCTCGGGTGCGGCTAATTATGGTTTTGACTACACTAATGCTCCAGCCCAGAACATCACAGCTACCCCGATGGCTTCTCAGTACCAAACCATGAACCAGGCAGCAGCAGCAGCGGCTCTATCAGACGCTTCTAGACAGCTTCCTGCAGATGGCAATCAGCAGCAGATAATCAGGTAAGACAAGTAAATTATGTGTTGTGTTTTACTCCCCCTTTTCCCGGAAAGACTTATTAGTTCTTCCACATTCGATAAAATAATGCAAGCAAGCAACTGTATTCTCATTGATGTATCCTGTGCTTTTAACTGAAAAATGATGGATATTATGGTAAAAAATTTGTACCATGCACTATTACTCTGCTTTTAGATCAGATTGAGAGAAAACGTGTAATACTACTGGTATGGAAACTTTTGAAAGTTTAAGAAAGAGGATAGTAACAGTAGAAGTAAGTTCCTGATACTAATTAGATACCATGAAAACTCAGTTGCATGTTCTGTCAATAAATGGGGATATAAAATGAATCTTAACATTCAATTGAAATAATGTTTTGTGTTATGCCTTCTAGTTGATCGTGCATGAAGGGTAATAACTTTCCTCAAGAACATGGAGTATATTTGATGCTGTAAACCATGCTAGGAAATAGAAGGATTGAGGAAACTGAATTAGATTGACTGAGTTGATGAACAAATCCACAGCCACAGAAGACCATAAAATATAAATTACTTTTGAGATCAGTTGAAGTTATTTTGATCCTAGGAAGAAATATTATATTCCTCTCTTGGGAACCTCTCATTCATTTAGATTTTCCACATTATTCATCAAAAAGCTCAATGGAAAAGTACTTTATTAAGATACTTCTAGTCTTGAAGATAGTTCCAATTGGTCCTAACATCGCTACCGGTGACTTAACAAAAGTTGATGTGCTAGTCAAAAGCTTGGGTGGCATATCTTTTATGTTGGCAACTAAATTGATATGTTTATTGTCCTCGTATTACATAAATTTTCAACTTTTCATTAAAAATCAATGGAAAAAATATTTGCTTTAAAAAAAATGTCCTTTTAGTTTAAACTTTAAAGAGATGGGTTAGAGTCACGAGCATAATGGTATGATATAATGTTACCTATTTGAGATTAAGTTCACATGATTTTAAATTTCAAGATCTTTACCTTTTTTTTTGAGATTATGTAATCCTCAATAAATATAAATATATATATATATATATATATATATATATATATTTTAAGTACAACATGTAGGGGGTGAGCCCTGCTCGCTTTTGCACGTAATCTTCAAGAAACGAACACCATTTAATCTTCTCAAACAATCATTTATTTGTTCACTCTACCCCATCAAAAACTCTCTTTACTCAAATCAACCTTTCTAAGAGGTGTCATTAAAAAAAGAAAAAGAAAAAACTCTACTCAAGTCATGAGTCTCTCTAAACAATTTTTTCACATGAACATATTGCTACGACTGTAAGATTGAGTGACCATTTGCTTTAATTCAGTCCGTGTAGGAAGAAATTATAAAATTTATAGTACTGCTGTACTACATAAATTTAAATCGAAACTTTTCCGAAGAAACTCTATGCTACCTGAAACTTCCTGTATTATGACAATAAAACATCAGGAAATTTCTGTATTTTTCACGACCAATTATTCATATCGCTACTAATCCCAACAGAAGCTTTTACTTGTTCTACTACATACACTACACACCTTTTGCCTCTTTTTAAGCCTAAACAAAATTTAACACAATATGTCTCCCCTAATATTAAGCTTTTTATATATTAAAAATAGTAATAATACACAACTCTACTTTCCAGCTACAAGGAGGAAATAAGTTGATTCAGAGGGGAAAAAGTGGCAACAACATCACCTTATGGTTTCTAAAAATTCCACTGTTTTTTCTCTATCTCCTTGCCACAAACAAATAGTGACAACGAATTTGGTAAGAAAATATTTTAAAGATTACCAATGATTGGAGGAGGCATCATCCAGAAACAAAACAATCAAGCAGGCAAAGGGCTTGATACTTGTGAACCCATCTTCTTGGCACGCAGCCTCTCCATGAACTGAGGATTTGCCCGCAACCTCTCCTTAACATACGAAGCTCGAGCATCCTCTACAAGTTTGTTGGCTTTCCCAGCCTCCTCTATCAGAGAATAAAGAGTCCTAAGGCAATCCTTTCTATTTTCCTCTCTGTGTTCAAACCTGACAAATACAATTGAAATTATAGTCTTTTACAAATGTAGAATAATGAAAAGGAAACCCAACAAAACATAACAAAGACTGCGCATGTTCGGGTTCATGGTCAAATATTCCTTGATCAAAAAAAGATTTTAAAGTCAAATTGGTAGATAAAGGAACCATAATGATTTCTTATAGTAGTCAGAGGAACGAAGAAACAGAGCAAAACATACGTGTTGATGGATCCTGTTAATTTATTGTCTAGAATTGGCTTCTTCATTAGTTATGTCAGAGACATGTTATAGTCCAATAAGACGAGTCAAACTCCAACATCTTAGTCCTAGGAGAAGTATCAACAAAGAATTGAGAATTAAACATTACAACATACCACTGTTGACCTTACCTCTCACTAGTAATCGTAAGCTCATCTTTTCCAGGATGATAGCGTTTGCCAACCAATTCCCTCAGTCGACGGAATTGGTACTTCGATAAACCAAGCTCCTTCACAGTAACAGACAACTTCACTTTTCGATTTTTGGGATGCCATGCATCCCCACCTGGTGCAAACACAACCCTTGTTTGCCACCTAAGAATTGGCCCTTCGCCGGGTGGGTCATCCAAGTCCTTTTTGTTATCTGGCACATCGGTTTCATCAAACTTTGGTGGTCCTTCCGCCTCCATCATTTTTCCATATTCCATGACCATCTGATCTTCAAACTCTTTGAACATCGAGTAAGCTTCTTCAGGTTCAAGTTCCCCTTTTTCACACATATCCCCCAGCTCATTGAATTTCTCTTCCACCTTTTTCTTCATTTCATCTGATGAACAGTTAAGTACCGAGAAATGGAAAAAAAAATATTATTGAAAGAGTATTATACGAGATGGTAATGATTTCCATGCATACATACACAAGATAACAATGATTGAGTGATTGCACAAGTTAGACTGGGAGGGTTAAGGACGTACGTCAGCAGTCTGGGTAGGATTTGAACCAACCACCAGCCAATTAACAGCTTTCATCAGTTTTTACCATACCCAATGAATTTATGGAAATTCAATTGTTAAATAATTTCAACCAGACTAAAGCAATAGCTCAGTGAAGATCAATTTTCAACTGAACAAATCAGTTCGGCTCAAACCAGTCTTATTCTCGTTAGTTGTGCTATACGCTTATTGCCTCAAATGGAGGTACAAGTTTCAAGGAAATATTATAGGTTTTCAGATAAGTGGAACTTACAATTTTTCAGTCGGTGGGGTTTTACAATTTTCCACTGAGAAGCGGGGCTCACCACTAATTATTTTCTATTCAGAGGGCTAGCAATTTATTCTGAGGGAAAAGAGGGCACTATACAAGGGTTACTAGTATTTTCCTGAGACTGATTGAAAAAGAAAATATAATAGCCACGAAACACATATATAAGCATGGCATCTGCCATACATCTCAGCAGTAGGATGAAATCGAGAAACTGCATGAATGGCGAGGCATAAAGAAATGAACCAGAGACAAATAAGGGCTCGAGAACTCAGATCGTGGATTTTAACATCCAAGTCTCTTGTCATTGTGTCAACACCGAAGGGGAGTAAGTAACCAGATATCAATAAAGCAAAATATAATTGAAAACCGTTACAGAGCCAATTTGGAATCTTTAGCCTGAATGAAAAAACAATAACTTAGAACATCTACATAGTACTGATGTACAAAATAAATAAGATGCAATTATAATCAGTTGATATGAACCGTCAGGAACAAATGGATAGAGTAAACAACGCCACAAAATAAAAATTTAAAGCCTTTTACTCCAAAAGTAAAGCACATGGAAAAGAAGCATGAACGTAAAGAAAAGTGACTCGACTCAGAAACTAAATAACTAGTCCAGGAAGAAGAAATAAGAAATTGTAACACAAGAAAGATGATGGAATGTTGCACGTTTATTTCTTTTAAGGAGTGATACCAACCAAAATAAGCGTATAAAGAAAAGAGGCAAACCTGGAAGGAGTTTGTCCCAGCTAAGCATATCCTCCAAAATCGCTTCACACTCCTTGGTGTCCTTCAGAATCCCATGCTTAATACCATCCTCAACAAGCTCATCCCATTTTTTGTCATCCATGTTGAAGTATTCGTCCTTCACCATTTTTTTCATAACTATATCCCTAGCATTGTAAAGATCGTCAATCTCTTCATCTGTCTCGTACAATTCTTCAAAATCAGATTCGAACTCTTTGTCCTTGACATCATCCAATGGTTGCATTCGTAGTTCTTCAATAAGTTCATCATCCGTATCCTCGTGCTTTCCAGCCAATTTCCTCTGAAGAATAGCTTCAAGAATTGATGGCAGTGCCTCCTCATCACCTTTAAAGTACTTCTCTATCCGCATTTTCAATTCTGGGGGCAGAAATTTTATGCATCAAATGACAAATGTAATTATTTTGACCTGCCATGACTTATGATTAAGTCACATTGAAAAAATTCCTAATTTACCACGGAACCAACGTCAGATCCAGAAATCTTTACTTCTTAAGCAAATAAAACAAGCACCGACATCAGCTACGAAAAAATAGAACACCCAAATGTTACCCCATCTCGAATGTAAAGCATTAGATCATAGAGGTAAGCAAAGTCATAATTTCTTGTTATAATTAAAAAAAAAAAAACCAATATCAAAACTATCATCTAACTTCAAGCACTTCCCAATGTTCGAATATAACCTACAGGCTTTCCCGTCCCACAGATTCATTTTCATCAACAAAGAAAACCTGCCGACTATATGAATACTAAAATGTACAAAACAGAGACAAGATATCAATAACGACTTCACAATCCTTCAATTGCCAATGGCAAACTACCTTTATTGCTCACGTCTTGGACGTCCAGAGATATGCCTTTCTTCTGAGCCGGCGCCAAATTCGCTTTGGGAGCACCTTCGGAACTATCCTTCGGCGGCGAATCGTTCTCAGAAGAGAAGAGCCTGAATCGAGACCTGGCCGGGGCAGAGAGCAAGCATGGAGGAAGGGCATTGGGCCTGTAAGTAGGAGAATTAAGGAGATGATGGCAAGCTCTGAGAGAGACGTTTCTCAATAGAGTCCATTTCATGGCTCCCCTGGTCTAGGGTTTAAGGTTTGATCCGATTTCGGAGAGTGAGGGATTTTGCTGCTGTTCGTGCCGGACGCCGTTACCCACTTTTAGACGGAAAATGCACCCATGCCAATTCGAAAACATGGGAAAATAAGTAATTTTTGGTTGTTTTTTTTCTAATATATATTTTCTTTTTATTTCCCAACATTTAAATTTTTACCATTTCTTTTAGTTATGAATTTCGTAAATATTGGTTAGAAGTACTTCTTTTGACATTCTAGGAAAAAACATTTTGTTAAACATCCATCATATTTTGAGGTGATTTTACCACGAAATTACTATTTATTAAACTTTTGATTGAAGTAACTATTGAAAAAAATTACGTTAAAAATATCTATTCTTCCTTTTGGGATGGGAGGTTGTTGTTCTCTTTTTAGTTTAGTTTAATTTTTTTTGTCTTTTTGATATAATATTGTAATGGATCTAAGATGACATATCTTATACCAATAAATAGGGGATAAACTTTTTCCATACTTAAAAGTCACACACTCTCCCTCTTAGAATATTTGTAAGCCAAAACAACACAATTCAATAATAAAAAACCCCTCGCACCATCTTCTTGCTAAACCCCTCCTAGCACGACCCATTACCGTATTGTCCTATTACAAAATTTGGACCCACAAACGCCACTCTACCAAGATTATTCGTGTGTACATAAAAAGTACAGTGGATCCTCTCCTCTATCACATTGCAATTATGAGGTAGTAGACATAGATTTTTTTTTTTTAACATGTGATGATTGGGATTCCATCATTCGACTTTTAGGTGATATATATCTTAGTTATATTCAAGTTGACATGTATGTAGGTGTTAGAACCTGGTAAATTTTTATTTTTTTTTTTTTAAGGAATGAACCTTGATAAACATTTATTGTGGCTTAAGCATTAAATTATATGTATATTGGCTCGACGTAAATAATTTAAAATATAATCTACCTATGGGCAAAGTTTAATGAGATAGAACTAAAATTGTAATTAATTTGTATGAATTTAATAAACAAATATTTAATAGAAATTTTTTCAGAGCCAGAATCTAATAACAAATAATAATTCCCCACTTATTATACTAAAAAAATAATAATTTATTGATATCAACATGTAGACCAATAAAATATTAACATATAAATACAAGAAGATTAGTAAACATATAACCTTATTTAAAAAAAGATTGATTATTGAAAATTAAAATATAAATAAAATTTGTACGGTTCTGGCCACAAGGGAAGTTAAAAAATTGCAGTCGGCACCGTGCTTTGTTTTGTTGTCTTCTGGTTTTGTACTTGAGAAAACGAAGAATGACAAAGTCAATTGTTCGCTTTCTCCGTTGCCGGCCGATCGTTGATCAGCGGCGGAGATCAAATTCCCCAAACTCACAGCTCCAATCCTCTCCTCAACACTCTCATGAGTTTTGCTGGGTTCTCTATGCAATTGAAATCCTATACTGCGTCTATTTACTGTCCATTGTTCAACGCTCGAAGCCAGCGAAAGGGAAAACCATCTATACCCATTTTCCCACAGTGTGTGAAGCAGATGGCGGCGGCGGCGGCAGCACCGGTTGAAGCCAGAACGAGCTTCGGGTTCAATAATTTAATGGAGACGTTCACTGTAAATGTGCAGAGAGCAGAGAATAGGCCACTGAATGTGCCATTGGTTGCGCCATTTACGATTGCATCTTCGAGGCTTGAAATGGTGGAGAATGTAGCGATAAGGATTGAGTTGAGTAATGGGTGCGTTGGATGGGGTGAGGCGCCGATTTTGCCTTTTGTCACTGCGGAGGATCAGCCTACTGCCATGGCAAAGGCCAAGGAGGCTTGTGAGTTATTGCAACAGAGACCGCCGACTACTTTGCGCTCAGCGATGATGCAGATCAGCGAGGTTCTTCCTGGACACGAATTTGCTTCTGTGAGTGATTAGCACACTGGATTTTGGCTTTTGACTTTCTTTTTCTGTTTCGTTACTGGCAATGTTATGCATTTTGATTTTGGTAAGACCGTGAGATGAAGAATTGCTTCCCTAGAAGTAGAAGGATTTTGTTGCGTGGCTTCGTAACATAATACTTGGAAAGCCCATTTTCACACACCATGAAAATGTATCTTTTAAAACCAATCTGTTAGTTCCCAAACCCACGTTCTTTTAATCACTGTATATCCTCTACACCATTGAAGGTCAGAGCAGGAGTTGAGATGGCGTTGATTGATGCAGTTGCTAACAGCATTAACATTCCTCTATGGAGGCTGTTTGGTGGAGTTTCAGATAGTATAACCACTGATATAACAGTAAGTCTAATTTTAGCCATTTCATTGTATCGGTTTGTTACTTTGAATCTCATTCATTACTGGAGATGATGTAGTTGGCCTTTTGACATTGCCCTTGTTTCTGGAGATTTTGGTCATGGACTGCAGTGGATTCTTTTAGCTTCATCCCAATAAACTCAGTAAATATTGGGATAAAACGAAATCCTAATCATTACGGTTAGAAGTAAGCCAAAAGAAAGTGTCGCAGAACTACTCTCATCCATGTTATTTATGCAGATTCCTATTACTTCTGCTTCTAATGCTGCCAAATTGGCTTCAAAATACCGTGAGCAAGGATTCAAGACTTTGAAGCTAAAGGTTGGAAAGGATCTAAAAGCGGATATTGAAGTTCTTCAGTGCATAAGAATGGTCCATCCTGAATGCGAATTTATCCTGGATGCTAATGAGGGGTATGGCACTGAGGAAGCTATACAAGTTCTTGCAAAATTATATGGTAATGGATGAGTACCTCTGTACTTGGCATCAATTTTGTCCACCTTAGGGCCTTTTGAAATATCTGCTCCCTTTTCATCCCTGCAAATTTCTAGAATTTTGTGCTTTACTTTCTTTTTAATGTGTGGTTTCCCTAAAGATGGAATGATTATTCATACAGAACTGGGGGTGACTCCTACTCTATTTGAGCAACCAGTTCATAGAGACAACTGGGAGGGTCTTGGACAAGTTAGTCGCATCGCTAGAGATAAATTTGGGATATCTGTTGCAGCTGATGAGAGTTGCCGGAGTTTAACTGATGTTAAGAGAATAGTGGAAGAGGACCTTGCAGATGTCATAAATATTAAGCTTGCCAAAGTTGGAGTTTTGGGGGCCATTGAGATCATCGAAGTAGCGAGGGCTTCAGGATTGACTTTGATGATTGGTGGTATGGTAGAGACTCGACTTGCCATGGGCTTTTCTGGTCATCTTGCTGCTGGCCTTGGGTGTTTCAAGTATTCACAGTCCTTATAAACAAGAATACATGCCTAGTTGGTTTATCACGCATGTTCATTTTTACATTTCTCATTATCTCAATTGTTTTTTGTCCAATTGCAGATACATCGACTTAGATACACCTCTTCTGTTGTCAGAAGACCCAGTTCATGGGGGTTATGAAGGTATTCTCAGCTCAATCTTCAACTTGGGTTCATTTAAGTTTTAGATTTCCCAAAACCTGTAAGTTGTTTGGTAACTCTGATCTAATTGTAATGAAATTTGGCAAGTAGTTTCTGGTGCTGTCTACAAGTTCACAAATGCCAGGGGCCATGGTGGTTTTCTTCACTGGGATAACATTGCATGGTAAGTTGTAAAGTCTCCTTTAAAAATGCAGATATGGGCTTATCTGCTACTTTAGGTGCCATGGGACTTCGATTTTACATGAACCTTGGTTGATTTCACTCAGTACTGATACAGATGCATATGTGTAATTTTTGTAGATGACAATTGCTTTCAATCGAACCTTCTACATAAGCGGAACTTTCAGTTCATGCTTTCACCTGAACAAAAGCCTTTCCAAGTCCGAATTCTCTGGGCAGTCTTGTAATTGAGAATTATAGAACCTTTCTATATACTAATTTTATTTGAACCTTGTATTTTAAATATCGGAATCGTAGGATATTTTTCATGAATGTTGATCAGGATTCATAGATGTACATCTTGTCATAGCTCTGGTTGATTTCTTACTACACATTCACAACTAGTTAATGACTACAAGTCTACAACCATGGTAAAAACATCAAGAAAACAGTTGCTTTTTTCATTTTAAACTCTTAACTTGCTGACAACTCCTTGAGCAGAACATTTTTAACCAGCCTTCAAACTGGATGGAAATGTATTCCACTTAAACTAACTTTTACCAGGTCTATAAAATGATCCAAATTCTCAGATATGATCCATTGTTTGACTTGGACTATGAGAACAGATGCAAGTTTCCTAACAAAATACTACTAAACTTATGAACAAGTTGAGCTCAGGTTGGCCCTTTAGATTGTTAATATTTGTTGTCCTAGAATCCACTTCATCTCTACTTATTAACAGGACATCCAAAAGGAGGGCAAGTGGAATGGTTCCAAAAGGAGGGCATGCTTAAAGTTTATACGTGATAAATGATGACACCAATATGAGCTACAATATATGAATAAAGCAGAGCATGAGGATTCAAAAGGTGAATCCATAACCATATTGATCTTGAAGGGCCACATAATAATAGCTACCACTTCTTTCAATCTCCAACCTAAATGGACCACTCTACTACATAACCATAAATTTATCCTCCCACCTCTACCACTAGATCCTTCTTTTTCCCTTTACAATTCTCTCTAATTAAAAAAAAAATGACAAGTTGAAGTTTGTTTTTGTAATCTAAAGAATTTGAATTCTTCCATTGTGAAAAAAGTTCAGTAATTTCAACTTTCCACTTTGTAAAGAATGGAATAGAGTCCAATCTGTATTACTATGTATTGTCACATCATTAAAATATCGTTGAATTGCTGAAAGGCTTGTCCCTATCTTATATTTACATAACAAAGCTCTTACTTGAGTGTATAACTGTGGTTCAAGTAATAAAAAAATCCCCCTTGGTATGCTAGTTCTTTCGAGCAAACTCTCGAACAGTCTTCTTCAAAGAGTTCTTTCTGCACCTACTAGGATTGGAACTTTCATTTCCACCATTTTTCACCTAATTCATCCACATGAATGTATAGTAACACCATACTCATTTACAACAAATTTACAGCATAAAATAAAAATAACCATTCCATTTTGAATGTTTTCAATAAGGATCGGGTCAGTAGAGTACACATTTCTTCTAATGGTCATGTTGTTGTAAGAAAAAAAAGAAAAATGGAAATTAATAACACATTAAGTAATCAGTATATATTGCCACTTCTTTGCTCTCTCTCCATCTTCATATTTTTAATGTTGCAAATGGGTTATGATGATTAAAGTAGAACTTGTGGTTATTGCGCAAAATGATGTATGTGGCAGAAGCAATATTTGCACACACCCACTCTTTTTCTCAAGTGTGTTCACATAAATTAATGGAATTTTAGGTGCCACTCAATGATGAAATTCCACGTGGCTATAAAAATAGGACAGAAAGTACTCCAATTGCCACATCACACTAATATTCACTCATTATCTGAACCTTTCACCTTAAATTATACTGAAATAAATTTGTACGTAAAGACTAAGATAAATGGTTCAAATCTTCATATTCTTGTTGAATAAAAAAATTGAAAAATGTTACAGATATATACATAAACAAGTATTTTAGATTATGGTATTTAGAAATTGCAATAGGAAAATTTAATCATTAAAAATATTTTTATGCAAAGTAAAATATTATTTTTTATTTAAATAACAAATTAAATAAGCTTGGTCAAGTGTATATATAGGGTTGGAAAGTTCTTTTTAGCCCTAAAAATACTTTCTTAAAAAGAGTATTAATCATTGTGACTGTAACTTTTATATATATGTATTGGATGCATACCAAAATAAAAAATAAAACTTAGGTGTGACCGATGAGTGCAGGCATCTCTCCTACTTATCACCATTAAAAAAATTAACAACTAACAAAGATAATGCATAAAAGAAGAGATAAAATATAATAAATAACTGTCAATTTTTTAATAGTGGTAAGTACAAAGAAAAAATACGTCTAAATTTCGTGTCCATATAACTCAAAATAATTCCCAATCAATCATACTTATAACTAAATAACTATTTTTATAGTACAGCATGTGGAGGTGAATATTCTAACTCACCATTTTTTGGTCGAAAATAGATAGGTTGACTATAATTAAATAACTTTTAACCACTTTTTTTGATAAATCATTAGATCACTGTATATTGTTGGATGCATGCAAGAGAAGTCAAAGAAGAGTATTTCAAACTCATATGAAATAGTTATTCAGAGGGCAAATATTGAATAAATTTTTATATATATTAGAATATCATATTGTAAATTGAGAAATTCGAACCTCCGACCTTTGAGGTTAGAACTTAACCGATATAATTAAACGTATGATGTTGAGGTAGGAATGATGGAGTTGTGCTGCTCCCAATAAACAATAATAATGATAATATTATAGTTTAATAATTCCTCTCCACTTTGTAGCCCTCATTCTGGATGGTGTGTATAAATAGAGAGAGAGAGGCCAAACCCAAGGCATGAGCAAAGCACCAACAATATAAGCTGAAAAAATGAAGGTGAACTCGTGGGGACTGGCGATTTTGGTGGCAGTGGTTGTTGCGGGAGTGGTGGAGGTGGGATGGGCGGTGACATGCAGCCCAATGCAAATGAGCCCGTGCGTGGGCGCCATAATATCATCGAGCCCGCCGTCGGCGCTGTGCTGCAGCAAGATCAAGGAGCAGAAGCCGTGCCTGTGCGGCTACCTCAAAAACCCTTCGCTTAGGAGCTTCGTGGACTCTCCCAATGCCAGGAGAGTCGCCTCTGACTGTGGAACTCCATTCCCCACTTGCTAGTTTGAATCCATATATATATATGGAGTTCCTCTGTTTCATTTCCTTCCCTATGTAATATGTATTGTGTTATAACTCTGTTTGTGACTTTTATGTTAAAATAATGGAGTTTTCTTTTTGTGTGTGTGTGTATTTTGGATAATTCTGTGATCCAACTCTCTGTTTCATGAAAAACTTTCATAAGTCAACTTATTTCATGTATGCTGAATAAAAGACCTTGAAATTTTTGTCCAAAACCTTTTGACGTGAAAGTATTATACATGGGCGATTCATCTCTCATATTTGATTTGATTTCAGAGTGATTTTGACGGATCAAAATCACTTTTGTCATGGTCAAAATTACTTCTTTTTCATTGATCATATTTGGCAAATTAGAAAATTGATTTTAGCAAAGTTTAAAATCACTTTAAATTGGTATCACTTGCTAATTTTAGAAAATCGATTCGAATTAAATATTTTTTTTTTCAAAATCCTTAATTCTACCATCACACTTTGAGAAGAATAGTGGTTGGGAAAATCAATTATCAAGAAGTTTGGTTGTGCACATATATGAATTATGAACAGAAGTCTGCCTAGTGAGCTATAAACCAGCGTAAGAATCATCCTTTATTGTTTTTTTGAGAACCATGTAAGAATGATCTTTGCTTCTCCGTATTTAAAAGTATTGCATTCTCTCATACCTGTGTCTTCAATAAATCTAACTATTTAAATGGAAAATACTTGGTTCTTCCTTTTAACAACTTACTACTGAGTAGCTAAGTATTTTCCTATTTCATGCTTACTCATCTTTCTCCCCTGTAGAATGACTCACTTTTCTTTATTTCTCTTTTTAAGTTTTTTATTTCTATTTCACAAAATCACTAAGTATTTCTCTTATTCTTCTATATTTAAAAAACATGACGAAAAAAAATAAATGGAAAGATATGATTATTTTTTCTTAGGTTCAACTTTCTAGTCTATGTAACTTTGAATAGTGAAAAAAATATCAAGTTTTGTTGTTGCAAGTAGAAAAATATTAGATTTTTTTTTCTTTTTTGTAACCAGGAAAAAATATATTTTTTTAAAATATAAATATATAGTATTGAAAAGATGCGATAAGAAAAGATACAATAAATTTGAAAATAATATAGTAAAATTGAATTAAAAGTCCAATAAGAGATTGAAAAAAAAATTGAAGGTGAAGCATCGCGTAAGAGAGAAAAATGGGAGATATGAGACAGAGAAAAAAAATGTAACACATTGATGAGAAGTTTTTTCTTTCATTTAATGTACCTAAATTAAATTAGTGCCCCTTAATGCTCCACAACCGACTTAAGATAATGGATTTAACACTAATTCCACTTTAACCTAATATCATTATTTAAATTTCTTTTCTTTTCAAGTTCTTTTTTTTTTCTCTCTCTCTCTCTCTCTCTCTTTAATATCTCATCCACTTTTCTTGGAGGGAGGGAGAGATAAGAAAGAGATAAACCTTTTCTCATGATAAAAAGTGAAGTCAAAGAAACCCTTTTGACTTTTATGATGCATTGCTTTTTTCTACTTTGGTTTGTGTTTGGATTGTGAATGGAAAACTCCAATTCCATAGGGAATTGAGGTCCAAGAAAACAAGAACAATGTTGAAGAATGAATTCCATACTCAAAAAATATTTTGCATACAAAAATTAGATGGTCAGAAAAAATGGATCATTTTGTTTGGTCCATGTCAAATATAAAGTAATGTTTGATATTAACTAAAAATACTAAAGTAAAAAATATACTTTACCGAGGAATAATCTTTTATTGATTACTATGAAATTTTTATATGGCTACTGCCCAATAAGCACATTTATCGTCTCTTTATAGTCTGGGCCAATATGTTACATTAACAATTTCAACATCATCTTCTTTCAACAGAATTTCAATGGAGGTAAGATATAATGAAAAATTCTTCTGTAAAGTTCAAAGTCACAAACAGAATACCATTCCCAGTGGATGGGGGAAAGAGAATTCTGCGATTCTCCATTGGTGGGATTTCTGTCAAGCAGTGGATGGGGAATACGATTCCAGTTCAGTCTAAGATATAAAATGCTACACACAAAGATGGTATCTACTGTTTTCGATATGAAATTCGATCTAATCTCTTTCATTTATACTTCTTCAATTCTAAAGAAAGATACATCACATCAAAAACATACGTAATATACATGGAAATTTATACTTCTTGACGTAGAAGTTTGACGAAACTATATTGAAGAACACGTCGATCAACAAAACAAACCATGACGACTCTGAATTTGAAGGGAGTGCACAAAAAGAGATTAACTTCTCCCCAAGTTTCCATGGATTAAGTGTAAAATGATAGACAACCTGCATCTTGATTGCCATTATGTATTCCATGTTGCTTTTTGCCCTTCAGATTCCACTTCATTTGAGCCCTGTTCTGTTCTGCTACCACTCCCATTTCACAGTTTTACTAGTTCTCCACCATTTCACATGTTTTTAACAAGTTGCTGTGAACTTTTTTCTTACCTGCCTCTATGAAATGTATTCCCAGAAAGAACAAAGCCACCCAAAATCAAAATGCATCATTAACAATCGTTGACATGCGACTGAGTTTGTTATTTTGGGCTGTAGTTCAAGCGGGTAGCATGGAGGTAGAGACACATCTCGAGTCATCGTTTGTCATCTCCAGTACGTCCCGTGCGATGCAAAGAACTGAAAATCAGGTTGATGAACCTGAAGAAGCCTCAGCCAGTTATCCGCTGCCTGCATCAGAGAATTTGCCATCTGATGCTCCTTGACTCCATTTTGCGCCCAAATTGAGCCTTTTAGCTTGTAAGAAGCCAATCCAAAAACAGGCAAGGAGACCTTTGGGACACCATCCATGTCATTTGGATATATCATCACTGGTGCCTGGCCATGTCCATTACCTGTGAACCACACGAACGAGCCAAAAATACAATCTTTAAAGAGCGCCGACAAAACTGAATTTTGGTAGACAATGGTGGCTACTGATAACAAACAGGCTTGAGTACATAAGAGCTCCAAACGAAACAGAAAAGTAGATAATGCATTATATATTTTGAAACAAAAGAGCTATAGGTCAGTGCATTTAGACCAGACCTTTCCGATGGTGAGTAGATAGAAACCATTTATAGGAAGAAATAAGAATATTGATCATGCTAGAAATAAGTTGATGCAATAAGAATTTTCTTGAGCAGAAAAGTGAGGACATAAAAACTAGGTAAAGAAACAATATCAAAATGTGCTTAAAGAATGAGCACAAAAACAATGAATAAGCAAGCTCCAATTTACCCTCCCCTCCCTCCAACCCCAATAAATTTATATATATATAAACCTCAGAAGTTGGTTTGAGAAAGCAGCAAAATATTTAACGCAATACTCAGATCATTCAAAATATGAAATATTACTCGAACTCGGAATAAATTTTAGTGAGAACAAGATGAAGAATGAATGCAAAAACCTAAATTTAGTTTTTAGAAAAATTATAGAGATTTCCTATGCACATGTGAATAATGCATCTTATACAATCAATCCATGATTTAACAGAATATAGCTCCATATATGTACACACCAATAAGTTTTTGGTCAGTTTAAATTTTAAAAGAATTAAATCTTCATTGATTTCCCCCATATACTCTAACTTTTCATTGGTAGTCACAGGGGAAGAGATCATTCTTTCAATTATTGAAGTGTATGTTCAAGTGGAATGAGCTCTATGTATTCAAAGGATAAAAGTTACAAATCAAAAAAAGGCAATGACTAGAAAGAAGATACATAAGCAATGAGTGAAGAATGGAGCCTAGGAAACATGTATCTTGAAGGCTACGCAAATTACAGATGCAAACCAAAAGAAAACTAAGAATGTCATATTACCTCTAATGGGAGTCGAAAGGGAATGATATGTTAAAAAGCAAGCATCCAAATCTTTTAATGTCGGACCGGTGGGTATACGGTATATCGGGTACCTACAATTCCAATGGATGAAATGAACAGCATGTTTTACAAAGCTATTAATATCATTGAATCAGCAAATATTTACCATGCGACAGAGACCCAACTGGCTGGCTGGATATCACAACTTCTTAAAGATTTCAAACCAGGATATTGGTAAGCAAGATCAAATATCTGTCATAATATAAATAATACTAGAAATTAATAAAGTTTTCAAATTAGCAAAATGTGTAACAATATAACTACTTTATGAACTAAAAAACCAACTAGCCTTATCAGCCAATGGAACTCGTTGATAAGGAAGATCTTGCTCAAAAAACTGAAAGAGCAAAACACTCCTAGGATTTCCAGCATCCCCATCATCACTCGAAAAACCTTCTTGTATCATGCAATGTTCATCTCTTACAGACATATTTCTCATTTTAAGTGTGTTTTCACAAGTTAGAAGGTCATGAACCCATTGCTCCCTAGAAATTTGAGAGTTTTTTCCAACTTCATATTCAATGCTACCGTCGCTACTTGTATCCCTGGAGGAGTCGAGGTCACTGTCCTCACCAGCCAGCCTACCAATATAAGAAACATCAGTTAGAAGGCAAAATTCACCTTCAGAGTAAAATTCACCATCAGCCAGCATCCCCATCGTACTTTGAGAATGATGGAAAAAGTTTATGATCACATCTAAAAGAGTGGCAAAATTAGAATAGAAAATACAACTTAGTAGAATTGCTCATGATATGTTAAAAACAGATATTTAAATTTCAAGCAGAAGAATTCAAGTACTAATATGAATACATATATTCCAAACAAAGATCAAATACCTGCACTTAGAATCTGATCTCATTGCAGATTCACCATATATTTGGATGCCAGACAAATATGGAACGTAATATTGGACAACAGAGTCGCCTCCATTAAGTACTAAAGGAACTCCAGCACCGTATGCACTCCACTCCTTGAAAGACTCCCACAGATCATTCAGAATGAAATAAGGTTGAAACTCAATATCACAAGTCCGCCAACCCCTCATAGTTGTCTGGAAACAAAAAAACAAGATCACAAATTCAAATAAACAAAAACAGTGAAAGAAAGAGAAAACCCTCAAAAGGGAGCATTCTAGACAATCTAAACTGGAAGAGACGAAAACCATAAAAGGCTAAAAGAAACTGAAATAAGATACTGATCCAAATTTGATTATTTAGTCCATTTTTCTCAGCTACCAATCAAGCTTACGTCTAATCAACTTTCTTTCGCAAACACCCACCTTAGAGAAGTACTGCGCTGGAACTGAAGGCGTTGTGGCGTCCAAGAATCTCTCCAAGTTGCTCTTATGCTGAGGAGTTAATGGCTTAGAAGGCTTAGTAGTAGAAGCCACGACTTTGGTCTTCATATCTGAAGAAGGGCTCTCAGTTTCATCGCTCTTGACGGGTCTCCTCGACGGCTTTTGCTGATTATAATTCTTCCTTGCCTTTACTGGAATATAAAACCGATCCTCACCCTTGATTCCCCCAAACTGCAACGCAGTTCCAAACATTTCTATCGCCAGACGAAAAACAAGAAACCCAGATTACAATGGGGGAAACCCAAAACCCAAAGTTCTCTACCTTTTTCTCTGAAATGGGCAAAAAATGAACTCAACCCAGCGGAATAAAAATGGGGAAATGAAGAAAAAGAAATTATGGGTTACTTATGGACGTCGCAGTTGGACCGACGCCCAAACTCCAAAGTAGTATAAAGCCGATGAAATGACGCTTAAAAGCAAAGGGGATGCTGATTCTTTAATATCTTCTTTGTTCTTGCTGCTAAGACTCGAAATCCAGTTTCCCCAAACGCTGAATTGAATCGAGATCAGAGAGAAACCCAAATTACAGAAGGAGCCGAATCAAGAAGAAAACTGAAAAATCAATTTGAAAAAAACTTCGTAGCGAAGATGTGAAGCACGCACGCAATGAATGACCCAAATGCGTTTTGTGTGAATTAAGAAACCTGGCGAGAAGGAAAGTGCAGAGAGAGAGAGAGAGAGAGAAGCCTGAACCAGAGAGTGTATTATAAAGGAAGAAGATGACATACTATAATAATTTAGCAAAAATATATTTACTATTTAGATTCTATTTTTTAATTAAAGCAAACTTCGGGGGTTTTTTGTTAGAAATTTTTTCTTTCTTGGGTAAAGATTGAAATAATGAATAATTTTGGGGAAGTAAGTAAATTGTTTAAAAGAAACAGTGATTGGTGGCTTCGTTGCGTTGGTGAAGTGAAAACGTCGACGTGTGGTTGGCACGTGAAAACGTGGTAGGTGTGACACGTGCGAACCACGAGTAGGTGACACTCGTGTGAATTGTCAAATATAGCCTTGGAAATTTTAGTCGGAGAAGTACTTTTATACTTATTTCGCTGAAATTTCTTTTTTTTTTTTCTTTGAGAAAATCTCTACCTATTTTGTGGTAATTAACAATCATTTTTCTACAACTTTAAATTGTTAAAAATATATTGCAAATATCTTTGCATTTCAATTTGCTATGGTAATTAGGAAATATAACTTATTTCATATTTTCATGTAAGAGTTGTTTTGTCCTTTGCCTTGATAATTGAATAACTCCTTCGGGCAATAATCTAAACAAGTTCTGCCTACTATAAAAAAAATTTAATGTAAAATTGGTTACATTTCAGGAAGTTTAGAACTCGTTTGATAATATCAATAAACTCAAGTATAATAAACCACTCTTTTTATTTATGTTTTTGGAGAAAATTGAAAATTATAACAAGAAAGAATATAATTTGTTTGGGTTGTTTTCAAAATTTATATACGATTTTGAGATTTTTTTTTTCAAAAAAGAAGAAAAACAATAAACATAGTTAGTTACAAAATGCTTAGACTTCTTAAGAAAATTATAAAGAATAAACAATAAATGGAAACGTTAAAAAACGAACCCTTATTGATTATAGTATTGTGTTGAAATTGTGAACAAAAGAATGAGATAAAAAATTTGATGATACTAAAATGATCACTTTTAAAAAGTACAGTAACTAAAATAAACACTATAACCAAAGCTGAAAATACACGATAACGTCTTGAAAGTTTAGTAACGAAAATAAATGAAAGTTAAAATTAAGTATTGAATTAGTATCTAATACTTTTTCCTTGTTATAATACTTCAAAACTAAAATGAGGGGTTAGTATTTAAACATTATTCGAGAATAAATGGAATACTTTCTTTTTGTAATATATATATACACTATTTTTCTTGAAATAGAATATATACTTTACCTCGACTAAAAAGAGTATTATTTGTTAGGGTTTTTTTTTTTTTAAATAGTTCGAACCTTTTACTGGCTTTAGTGTTAGAGTGTTTATATCTCTTTTGTAGGTCTTTTTTCTATTGAGATTTGCAAGACGTTTGAGTGTCAATGTCAATTTCGTGTTTAGACAAAGTTATTATATAAAATTTATGAAATTATATATGGTATGATAATTAAAATGAAAAAAACGACAAATAAGAAGTAGATATAATAGATATTATAAAAATTAATAAACTAATAAATTTATTTAAAATTGACTAGTCGTATGTAAAACAACGTGATTGCATTATTTAATATAAATATTTTATCCAATAAAAAAATCTAAATTGTTGTTCTTTTTAGGTATTAGATTTAGAAAACCAAAATGGATCATTATTCAAAGTTCAAAGATAATATATATTTTTTTTATTTCCTTGAAAAATTGAATGACCTTACGTTGAAAATAACAACAAGAAAATGACTGTATTGATATAAAAATGAAGCTCTTGGTGCGATGATTACATCAAATCTTTAGGACAAAAATGTCTCAAATGTGTTTCGATGAATTAAAAAAATTTCCTTTCCAAAAAAGAATTAAAATATTGAATAAGAAAATATGGATATAGAAGAGAACAAAATAAAATGGAAAGAAAAATAGGGAGAGAAATATCAAATTCAATATCCAGCATTCATGCCAGCTTTTCCCTTTCTTCTTCTGTTTTATTTATTTTTTATTATTATTCTTTTTTATATGATTTATTTTTTCTACTTAACTGAAAAAGAATATTGAAAGATGAATATGAAAGATGAATTTTAAGTTTTATTACAGTCTGCCAATATTTATTTTTACTACACTTTCAATTATTTTTAAAAATTTAAATTGTTCTGTAATAGTTATGAACTTGAATAAAAAAAATATTCTCACCTCCTATATTTTTTTGCCATTAAAAAAGGGACAATTCTTTATTTTTTAGAAAATAGAAAATATATAATTTTTTCTACATTTTTATCTCTTATTTATAAAAAATTTAATGGTGACCAACAAATAATGAGTGTTTACAGCAAGCAAGTAAGTATTATTTTTCAAGTAATATGTTCTCTTCCCCTTAAAAATTGTCAAAAATAATAATGAAATATATGCTAAATAATGTTTTAGTTTTTATCTGGTTTTTAAATTTAGTTATTGTTATTTAAAAATTTTTTACTTTAATTATTTTGTATCAATATGTTTTTAATTGCACCTTAACTATTTTTGTAGGTTAAAATTGGTTAATAATATACTAGTGCAATACTTTGTAGGCTGTCAAAAATTTAGAAGGAGAATTAAGTCATTAAAATAAAAGTAGAAAGTTTCTAATTTATCCATTAAGTTTTAAGAAGCTTGCATAAATTTTTAACTTTTACTTTGTTAATCGACTACTTTCTCTTGTGGATAAACTAATTTTAACACTTACCAACAAATATGATAAATTGAAACTTGTTTTTAATAATATTGGACTACATTTAAAAAATACTGAAACATTAAGAACTAAAACACATATTTAATCTAAATTATAATTTGGATCCTTAAAATTTATTTTCAAATTTTCAAAGTCTCTATTTTAGTCAATTTCCAATTACATACTGATATTAATGGTTGAACGCCCAAAATTTAACAATATTTCATTCAATATTCTTCTTTGAATGAACATGTTTAATTTAGGGTCTCTCTAAGTTTTACTATGAGCGTAATGCTAAAAAACTTTTGATGTTTCTCTAGTCCGGACCTTGAGGCGAGTACGGGTGTCTGTCCCACTTAACAAAAAAAAAAAAGATTGATGCTTCTTCTTCTTCTTCTTCTTTTTTTGAATAATCATCTCCTTCATCTTTACTCCGTGGGAGTAATTAAAATTTGAAAGATTAATACATAATTTTTCGAAAATGGTAGGGACTAAATTTGAGGAATATACATTTTAGGGACTAAAAGTCTAGAACTATATTTTAATATCTTCCAAATCTCTCTTATAATAATAATTGAGCTGCTATAATTTGACCTTGTCATATCTATCCGACCCACATGATTGATTTATTTATTTTATTTTTATTTTTCTAATCATTGACTCAATAATACCACATGACGGTCACAACCACCTTTTAATCAGACCTTTATTAATTATTATTTTCATGATTTATTTAGTTTCCCCATATCTTATGTTCGTCAAATATTTAATGTGCTTCCATCCTGCCCATATTTCTGTTTTCATTTTCATCATTGAACTTGTAAAGGGCCTATTTTTATTATTTAACCAGAAAATTTATTATATTTTAGTGATATGTACTTTAAAAATGTGTATTTAAATTTATGAATTTTAGAAAAGTAACTATTTTAATTTTTACCTTTATTTACTTTTAAATAGATAATATGACGTGAAGTACATATATCAATGTATTAGCATGAACATATATTGAAGTCATATAAATTGATTGAGACAAATATTAACTAAATAAATATTATGTTACAAAAGAATAACTAAGATCAAAGATCTAAAACCAACATTTTGAGAGTTCTACTGGAGGAAGCATTCATACTATCTAACATACCTATTAATTAATCTGGAGTATCATCATAAGCAACCAAAAATTTTCAACCACTTATATTTTTAAGGAATTGAGTTGCTTATGGTACATTAGAAAAAAGCCCAAGCAAGAAACTCTCTCACTATTTTCTCAGTTTTTTTTTTCTTTTAAGAAATGATTTTATCCACTTTTAAATGATTTACTTTAATATTATTTGAAGATGAGAATGAATTAAAAAAATATATATTAATATAGACTATAATTAATCGAAAATTAAAATATGACAGGGTTAAATAAGTCATTTAAGGTAAAATTATATGACATCGTGCAAAATCTGATCATTTTGGTCATAAACTTTTTTTAGGTGAAATAAATCATGCAAAATTTAAAATCATTATCTTTTATGGATAGCTAACAGTGAAATTAATTTGGATTTAAATTGAGGGCAACCAAACATAGAGAGTTTATTGTGGATAATTTGAATGGAGAGGAAAGAGATGAGTGAGAGGAGCATCGAATGGTATGAAATAATTGAGTTGGGATGAGATGAGATGAGATGGAAGGGTCTAAATCAAGTGGGGGCCCAAGGTATTCAGAAATGGATTCGGTGGCCCAGTGGAGGCCCAACGTGGAATACAAGAAGTGGGCCCAATTGATTTGTGATTGGAGACTACGACATTTTTCTGGTTTCTTCAGCCATCACCATCATTCATATTCATATTCTAAGGCCAACCATTTCTCACTCCCCAATCAATCAAATCACATCCTCAACCTCATCCTCTCCTTACCTTCTCCTCAGGTTCATACCCATTTTAATTTTCCTTTTTTCGTTGCAAAACAATGATCAGTTTTCTATCCCCAATTTGGTATGACGGGTCAATTTTAACTTTTAATTCAATTGAACTGAATTTAGACTTCGAGAATACATGTTTGCAATTTTTGTCATTTGTTTGGCAAAGTGCAATGTAAGAATATGTGAAGTTCTGCTAAATTCAACGAAATTCAAGTTTGAACTAGCCAATATACTATATCAATCAATTGAATAAGTATCTAAAAAACTTACCTATTTCATGCCAATCAATTGAATTGGGCCAGCCAGGCCCAGCCTAAGACATATATTGGGCCAAAGGCCATATAAAGTATATGGGCCTAAATCCAAAATGGAAACAGAATCCATGAGATGAGATGGTGTTGTGTAATTTCCTTAGAAATTAATAAAATAATAATGTAATAAAGAAAATTCCACGTCAGAGTCATAGTCAGCGCCGCCCTCTCTCTCTCTATCTCTTTATATATATATATATATATATATATATTTATAAATACCCTCTGCCGCCTGTTCTCTCAGTTCCAAAAAGAAAAAATAATGAAGGCATTTCTGCTTCT